ACATTTGTAGAAAGCCTTCATAAACTTCATAAACTTTTGATGCCCAAATATGGTCATACACAAACTTCTGCTTTCCTTGTCTCAGCTGACTCATCGTTCACAGACATGCATTTGAGTCTATTGCTGCCAGAAGATAAGATTGTAATGTGGATGGTTGTGTGTTGCCTTTCCTGAATGTACTTAAAAAAACCATGCCTCGTCTGTTGTTTTTCTGATATAAAAAAAGGAAAAGCTAAATCAATCCCAATAAAGCACATCAGGCTCAAAATAGAAAGAATGTGTCAGGAGTCATGTTAATCCTAATATATTTCGATGGAAGCCCTTCCAGAAACAAAAACCATATTTTAAGAAGTAGATCTGCAACTAACAATCCTCGATTATCATATAACAGGTTATTTTCATTACAGATAATCTAACAAGTACTAACCACTAGACACTGGATTTAGCGTGGATTTTGTATGCTTTCATCAGTTTATATCTACTGATGTTATTGTTTACATGTGTTTTATTTTTGCATGTGTGTTGTTTTCATGGATCTATAACAACACCCCATGCTGCTCAAACGATTTGCCCCTGGTGGCATAAATAAAAAAGTTTGCAGCCTGCATGGTTGTGTCTCCAAAGACAAGAAATTCAACATGTTTACATTTTTGTGTCACACTCACACAACAGACTAGAGAGGAATGAAATACACAACACGTCTTAGCTGGGAAATAATCCTGTTATAAGTCACCAAGTCAGGTAACTAAGCAGTACGAGCGTCTTTCACCTGTGCCTTATTAGAAGAACCTTCAAAGAAAAAATCATGCTTTTGTTTCAGAAAATAGACAACATGCCCAAAACTTGAAATGTGAGAACATACTGTATGACATACTGATTACACACAAGTGATATATATGAATTTGTGTTGATCAATATGGCTGAGAGCTTGGAAAACTCCCAAAAAACAGAGAAAATTAGATTTTTTTAAATGGACTGGAAGTCTTAATCATCAAAGAGACAAAAGCTTGGCATATGTTACTTTGCATTGAATGAGTCTATATCATAACACAAAAATTGAATTACAGAAATACAGGGTTTCAAATAGTATTTCTTTTTCGGCCATGTTATTAAGGGGAATAAAGTTACAGATCTTATTTGCCTAAACATGTCAGTAATACCAAAGCCAAAGAGGAATTATCATTTAAAACATCTAGAACAGGGGTCGGCAACCCGCGGCTCCGGAGCCGCATGCGGCTCTTGAGTGCTCCTGGAGTGGCTCCTGGAAGCCTTTTCAAAATGTCTGAAATGGGAGTGTAGGGCTATAATTATTTCTTAGTTTGAAATGTGGTTTCTGTAGAAGGAATCACAAACTTTACGTTTTTAAATGCTGGTAAAATGTGTATAAGTAATATTAATTTAAAACATTTCTGTCAACGTAGTTCGTCATATCCTAATGACACGCGGTCACGCGGCCCCCGCCCTCATGCGCCGCTGTTGTAAACAAAACCGGCGTGTGTGCTCATAAGGCGTAAGTGCTCATGGATCCCGAAGCTAAAACGAGAAAGAGTCGAGAACAAACTGGACTAAGAACGAGAATGAACATTTTCTTCAGTCAATGCGGAAGACTGCTTCAATGTTTGTAATGAGAAGTTTTGTTGCAACACGAGGAACAATTACGGGTACGCAAACGACGTAAACGATGCAGGTATGTGACCTCTGAGCCCAAAGCAGATTGATTAACTGTATTTCTACAATTGCATGAAGGCAAAAAAATAAAGCAGAGTCGTCACGTGTTGCGTCATTCACGACACGCGTGGTGCGACACGCTGCAGTGAAAATACACATTTGATAATCATGAATGATTATTATGTATTTGTAGCCTTTACTTTGTCATTTAGATATTAGGCTAATATAGCTAAATACATCTTGCAGCCTGTGTTAACTTCATAAAAGCCTTATACAAGGCTGTTATTTTTTTGCGGCTCCAGACAGATGTTGTTTTTAGTTTTTTTTGTCAATTATGGCTCTTTGAACATTTTGGGTTCCCGACCCCTGATCTAGAACAATGCTAACCCATAGAAGGTAGAGGCTAATGTGAGCCTATAGGCAAGTAGCATAGGACACATTTGATTGAATAAAGGGCCTATTAATAACACAAAACTAAAAATCTGACCATTATGTCGTGGCTTAGTGGTCTGTGTACAACTGGCGACCCATTTTTAAACTATTGTGCACATCTCACGGCAGACAACGTCTCTCCTCCCCGAACATATGGCCCCTCGAGACCGCAGTGTTTGTGCGGCTGATGGTAATTGTCCCACACATGAACATATGGTGAAACTAAATAAACGTTAGGGCTTCAGATCGTTGAATTCACTTCTGCTTTTGTGAAAGGAAATCCTCTTAGTAAGCACAACAGCAAAACAGATGGGAATTTCACTATAATAGTCCAAGATGAGCGATATATATATGTATCAATATTAGAATTGGGCTGATAATTACTATTTCTAATGGATTTTGTATCAGTGGATTGTCAAAACCAATTCTGTATTAACCCTATAACAGCCAAAATCTCAGAAATGTTACATGTGGTTAACACTATTGAGTTGCACGCATAAATATACAGATAATAGATTGTGTTTTCTGTTTTGGGAGATCAAAATGTAGCTAAACATTACTTTCAAATAGTATTTTTGTGAAGATAAACAGCACTACGACAACATCACCCTACCGATCTCCTTTTGTGCATCCAATGTGGAATTTCTGTTCATCCCATCTCTCACGTATACAGTTAAAGATCAAAAGAGCATTTTCAATAAATAAAAACAATACATTTTCTTTCTTTAAACATATTTGCATTTATCATCAGTATCTGAAAAGACCTGCTAAATTAAACATCAGCCTTAGTGGTGTTTTCATGATACAAAAATTGCATATTCAATTTTGTTATGAACTATTAGACTATTGAGTTTGATAATAAGGTAATGATTTAAGACAGCTGGTGTTATGGTACCAGCACAAGTGTTACCAATTGTAATGTCAATAAATATATTATTATTTCTATTTTTCATTTTATTTTTCATTTCTCTGACAAGGACATTGCGCAATGCATGCTTGTACAGATCGTACATAGCTAAGCAAATCTGTAGTCCCAGGGCAAAGGCTAAGTGAAAGCAGGTTCACAGTGTGCAAAGAATTAATGCAAAGAATGGCCTAGTTAACAAATTATTCAAAAAGTTGAGGAAATAAATATTCATACTTGCTCAAATGAAAATAGCAAGTGATGATCTGATTTCATAAACTTTGACATCACCAGCACTAAGTCCAAATACTCCCAACACAAAAAGCCTCTATGACCCCAGCCACAATAACTCAAGTATAAAATGTCTTGTAAAAATTCTGTGACGCAAATGAAGCAGTCGCGTCAATCTGTACAATCAACTTTGGCTGATAACAGTGACACAGGAAATGAAGGAGCGTCTTTTCTGACTTAAGCCGAATACATGCATCCGCTGTGGACTTAAATGACAGACTGTGGTGAACTGTGTGGGATTTCCCGAGCCACAAGAGCAGTTTAGGAGGTCTTTCACATCAACATGGGTCAGAAAAACAAGAAAAAATTGGCGCCGAGTTGAGTGCATGGTTCGGTGTAAGAACAAAAGCTTCCGATTTAAAACAGCTGGTCAATCTCAAAACAAAGGAGCATTAAAGATAACCAGCATTTTTAATAAGTTTAATTTATTTAGCCACAAAATCCCAAATGTAAATGACAATAACAGTGTGTTCAGTTCAAGCAAGTTTGATCAAATTCTCAAAATGATGTTGGGAATGCCGATTTTTAGTTTTGTTTACCAGTTGCGGTTTGTGGCCTTGTTGATAAGGATGAAACCCAGATGTGATTGTAAGCGTCTTATTATAAGGGCAATATTGATAATAACACATATCTCAATGTTGTTTTGCCATTTCTCATTGACAATGTATTTTTTTGACATCCAAGAATGCATCACAAATTCACAACTATTACAACTAACCACAAATAGGCAGAAAAGTCAAGTATATCTATTAAACTAGATATTTTGTTCTCTGCTTTACACAATATTTAGCATACATAACATACACCTAGTTTGTATAAAGTTAAACAGACAAAAATATGCATCCATGTTTTGCAATATTATCCTTTGTTTGATTCACCTCTTGTTTTTTTGAGCAAACATGTGACGTCTGAACATAACACCTGCTTTTAGTCTAGCACATATACAATACAACATAATCCTCTAATTGTTTCAATTTTTGGGGATAAAAGATTAAGATTAAGATTAGGAGATGCTTTTATTCATCCCACAGTGGGGACATCTCAGTTACAGAACAGGAGGAATGAGGAGCGCACAACACAAGAGAATTGAACACTAAAAAGCAAAAACCATCAATGGAAACGACAAAGTAAAAGGAAGAAAATACAAATTAGAGGGAAAAAAAAGGCGAAGAGAGGTGTAGATTGAACAAAGATAATCCTTGTGGACAGAAGGAACCCGCCTCACAACAACAGACTGTAAACAACCAGAGGGATGAAGAAGCTTGCGGCACCTCAGCCAATTAACCTGGAGCATTAGAGAAAAAACAAGCCAAAATACACTTTACTCTAAATGCATGGAGATGTGGAGAATGACAAAACTGGGATTCGATGCCAGAAGACAGCAGAAATGAGCAATTAATCATAATAAATGTGTAATTACGAGGGTCACCAGTCCTTGTTACATATGCTCTGTGCTTTCGAGGTAAGCAATCGAAAAGCAAAAATCACACCTTGTAAAAACCATACATACAACATCCATACATTAAAACACGATTGGGATTATAATTATAGCTATATTTGGGATTTTATCGTTCAACACCAGCAAAGCTCTAGTCATTTGTACAAAAAGAAGCCAAAGAGAACAAGAGGAGGGGATGGTCGCTGGGGGGGAGGAAGGATAGCGAGGGAGGAGACCGAAGCTGTGTAGCCGAAAAGCAGCACTCACCATCGGGGCGTTTGAATGTGACACGCCGGTGATAAACGCGGGCTCGGGTGGCTGTGTGGTGGAGGATCAGGTGGATATTCATGCAGTTCCGCAGAGGGCTTTGTTGGACACTGCTGCTTCTGCTGCTGCTTCTGCTGCTGCTGCTGCTGGGACTGGTGGATCCCTCCTCCTCTCTGCAATGCTCGATCTGCGCGGGGTTGCCAGGCTCTGAACAAGAATTTATTAATTTCTTATTCGACTTAAATTAAGTCGAATAAAAAAAAAAGAATCGTAATCGAAGTGTTATATAATAGTATATGTGTGTGTGTGTGATACTTTCATAAAAAATAATAACAGAAATAAACTAACGCTACATATGGAGATAGAAAAAGTCACAAACTTATGAAGACCATAAATATTAAAAGGCACATACGCGGAGTAATTACGCTTCCAAACTTAGAGCCGTCAAATTGTCTGCTCAGCGAGTTCTAGTGCAAATATAACTTGAAATACAGAAAAAGAAATAGTTTGTTGAAAGCTACTAGCTAAATGCTAATTAATGCTAATGACAGTAAACAGTTGCGGTGGTAACTAGAACTCGAAAAGTTGCAGTAACTGCCATAGAATGTTGGTTCAATGGCAGTTAACTCTAATAATTATTATACAACATCTACAGAAAGTAGTTATAAAAACAAAAATGTACATTGTTGAGTAAATACACTTCAGAACAAAAAACTAAATGTTGTCAATTAGTGTATGTGAGAGTGATCAGCATAATAAACTTTCCAGCTTTTTGTTAAAACGCGTATAAAACAGAATGAGAGTTTTATATAGATGAAGTACATCTGAAATAAAATGAAAGAACAAAAACGGTTCAGTTGCGATAGTTTGATAATACATGCAAGTCAGTTGATAGACGCCTAAAGAGGCTTAAAAAGAACAAACTTGGCAACCCTATTTGTCTTTTTTTTTGTTGGTCTCGCGCGTCATTGGCTCGGTACTTGTGAGGATGCCTTCAAAGAGCATCGGACTAAACCAAAACAAATCTTTTCCAAAAGCCGTAGCGGCAGGAATAACGGATTCTCATATCCACACTTTAATAATAAAACTAATAATGCATCGGTTTTATATAGCGCTTTTTTGGACACTCAAAGACGCTTTACATGTCCTTATTCTTTCACTCCATACACGGTGGTGATCAAACTACTACTGTAGCCACAGCTGCCCTGGGGCACACTGACAGAAGCGATGCAACCAGTATGCGCCATCGGCCCCTCCGACCACCACCAACCATTTACACACACACCAGACTCATTCTAGGCAATGGGGGTGAAGTGTCTTGCCTAAGGACACAACGGCAGTTTGGCACTTTACAGCCGCAGCCACCCCACTTTACCTGCATTAATACAGGTCAGTCAAGATTTAAGAGAGCTATAAAAAGGGCCAACCTGTGTGTACGTATATATATGTGTATATGTATATATATATATATATATATATGTGTATATGTATATATATATATATATATATATATATATATATATATATATATATATATATACACATATAGTTATTTATGTACATGTAAGTATCATAACAATATATCAGTGATGGGTATTTGGTGACAGGGAGTAGGCCCAGATAAGCTGTCCCAGCTTCTGCCAACTCCCTTTTTGGCAATTGTTTTTTTTCTCAATGCATCTCTTTTGTATCATTGATTTTGAATCTTCTAGCTGCCCAAATATACACTTAAACATAAACCCCCTCACCCCCCCATAATTAATAGTGTATTGCATAATGTTGTCATAGTAATAAATGATAGAGTCCTCAAAATGGTGCATTTAAGGAAGCTGGAAATCGTGTTTACATCACTTGTACCAACTTGAACTTTTCCTTTTTTGAAGATGCTTGGACTGAACTGAACTTAGAAGGTAAACTATGTCACAGCATGTTCAGAATAGTTTATTGTCCATGTAGGGAAATGTGTGAAATTAAAATGTTAAAAATCTGTAAACTAAAATTAATCCAATAAAACAATGCATGCAACACACAGTTGAGATTCCATCCAAATATGCATTATCTTCCGCTTTATCCGTTGCCAGGTCCCGGGGGCAGCAAAGAAGAGATGCCCAGACTTCGCTTTCAAAACACTTCCTCCAACTCATCCAGGGGAATCCCGAGGTGTTACGAGGCCAGCTGCGAGACCAATCCTGTGTCTTCCCTAGGGCCTCCTCATGTTGACAGTAGACTTTTGAAAAACAAATTTATAACAGAACAAAACCAATGGCAAATTGTTTTTAATCAAAACTTCAATCTGTTGCTTATTATCACATGAATGACATTTTTTCAACAACAAATGATAAAAACTAATCAACACTAGATGCCAGGGAAAGACGCTTTTTCTAAAATTCAAATATATAAAGGCAAAAGGAGCAGGTTTTTCTTCAAATGTGCAGTCCTTACGAAGCAAAGAAATACAAATAATCTACATGTTGGAATTTATGGAAAAAAAACGCACTCAGATCCTGAATGAACACAAAAACAGACATGGCAACAACCTCATATTTATTTTTAAGTTTCTATTGCTATTAGTCCGATTTTTTTATGGTGACATATGTTTCAGTGGAGAATGTATAATGTTCTTTCTTAATGGGTTGTGTTGATCACGTTGATAAACTCGGGTTAGCCCTGGAGTGATGCGTTTGAGTCCACACATGTTGTTCAGTCTCTTCTCCACCAGTAATCGCTCCATTGTCCCAAAACTGTCCATAATTTTGCATTTGTTTAGTCTTCCTTTTCTGTGTAGGTTTCAATCACGACATAACGAGACTCAAGATGGAGGGCAGTGTTTGGAATAGGTGTTGTTTTACATAGAAATTCCACTATTGTGATTTGGTCCTCTTGCTTGGTTAGCATAGTTTTTAACAGCCGTTGTGTGTTTAGTTGTAATTGTATCATTGTTGTCAGGCTGGTTTAGAAAAGCCAATATTGATGCAGATAATTGGTTGCTCCATGTCACCACCGCCAAAGTTAATCGTGCCCTCCATCTTGATATATTCATGTCAATGCAAACCGATTTGCCTCTTGTTTTATTATTTCACAGCTGCTCTTCCCGTCTCAGTTGTCCCACCTGCTCTTTCTCTTTTTGGGCGGATCAGGAACAGCAAAGCCATCATCTCTGTCTGCATCTCTGTCACTCCTCCGCTCCTCCCTCCGGCTGCTGCTGCTGTCTCCGTTACGACTGTCACTATGCCGAGTCTCGCCATGACGACTGCTGCTGCTGCTGTGGCGATCGCGGTCTCCGTGGCGCTCCCTGTCACGGTCGCTGTGGCGATGGTGACTGTCTGAACTGTGGCGTCCCCGCTCATCACCATGGCGCCCGCGCTCTTCGTTGTGGCGGTCTCTGTCGTCGCTGTGGCGGTCACGGGGACCGTCCCGCGGGCCGTCTTCCCCATAGCGGTCGCGGGGGCTGTCTTTAGGGGGTGGTGGTGGAAACATGGGCTGGGCGCTGGGTGGGGGGATGGAGCTGAGAGTCCCGGCGCTGGTGAAGCCGGACATCTTGGTGCCGCCGGCCTCTGTGGGGATGGAGCTGAGGCTGCCGGCGCTGGTCCAGCCGGACGTGCTGCTGGACTTAGTGCTGAGCTTGGGAGCGCTCCCGGTCGCAGCCACAAAGTGACTCTTGTACTGAGCCTGAAAACAAGAGGGAAGAAATGTAGTTTGAACCATTATTGTAATCATTGTTTTTGAATAGAAAATCATATATGGAAGCTTGGATACCCAACTTTTTTTTCTTAATAAATATTTTGTCTCAACAAGAAGTCTCATAACAGTTAAAACAGAAAGAATACCGTACTATAAGTCACTTTGGGCTAAGAGCTCAGCCAATCAGGGTTGAATGGCCTAAAAATGAACCAAAATGTTTTGAGCGCTAGGAACTAGATGGGTGGATTTGATTGGTTATTTTTGTGTAATTTGAATTAGAATCTTTAATCAATACTAAAACTAGAATTGAAACTAGACACTCAATTGTACAAGTGTCCATAATTATTACACAAACACAAAGAAAAACATGACAATTCGTGGGCACTTTTCGATTATCTAAATATTTGGCATCATGAAAAAAAATAAAAAGGCATAAAAATAATTACACTAGAAATTTCCATTGATAATGAATTTGTATCAAAATAGTTTCAAATGTTAGTATATTGAAAACCCAATTATCTACAATGATACGGAAAAGTTTGGCAGCACAAATACGTACATTGAAGGCCTGTCTCATCGCGGCGATCCGGTCCCCCATGGCTCCTGTAGATGGTTTGCTGAAGCTCTCGTAACTACTTGAAGACATGATGCTGCTACCACCACCCTGTAAAAACAAAACAGCACAACATGAGATTGTTTGACATGTGAGTGCCTTGAAATGTTCATTATGTTCTTGTGTTCTGTCAGTGTATTTGTCAAACATTGAGACATGAGATGACAATTTAGATTTTGCATTTTTGTACTGGTCTAAAGTTAAATATTTCACAAAACTTACAGAACTATCGGATCCTAGTCCTGGCCGTTCCTTGTAACCAAGGCCACCTCCACCGATGTTCAACTTCTTCCCTTTTCCTCCCTTGAATCTGGACTTTCTGAACCATGGATTCTAAAAAAATATATATGAAAAACATGTTAATTAACGAAGACAGATTTAATGACACCGACTTATTTTTAATCTCTTACCTGCATGGCTAAATCCATCAGCTCCTTGGAGACTGCCTGATTCGCTCCCTCCAGATTTCGCACGAGGTCACCGGCAAATGAGGTGTCTTTGAAGGTGAGGAGAGTGTAGGCCACGCCCTTCTCTCCTGCACGCCCCGTTCGACCAATCCTGTGCGTGTGTGTGTCGATGTCCCGGGCCACGTCATAGTTCACCACTGTGCGAATAGATGGGATGTCCAAACCACGAGCTGAGTACAAGGGTGGGGGACATGGTGGTTAATATAAGACCACAAACCCAATGCAAGACTTTTACTGGTTAACTGGTAATTTGTATAGCTTGTGGTGATATAATAAGTTTTAAATTATGTTTTTTCGTTCAATAGGAAACTAAATAAGGACATCCATTTGACAAGAACAATGTATATGAACTAGACAATTATTTCTTAATTTTTTTGTTCGTTTGAAATAACTTTTATAGGCTCCAGATTAATGACTGTATATTGGTAAAATGATGATTGAGGAAATATTCCAAAAAACTGACAGTGGTTCTAAACGACAATTTATTTATCAGTAAAATAAGCAACACCATTGAGCGGCTGTAAACACATGGACAATGCTAACCCACTCGCTCAATAAAGCCCAAAGGGGAAGTGCACATGGACAAAGCTTTTCTCCAACTCACTCCTATTTATATATCACACTCACCATTTTGAGCTTTATATATTATCTAATCTATTTTATATGTCATTGAAAATCCAGATATGAGCCGTAAGTATTGACCAATCAGATGCCTAAATTTGCAGGGAATACTCAATGTTAGCAATACGTCTGTCCCTGTTATTTCACAACAAAAGTCCATATAAGTGAATTGGCTCCAGCTAGCTTGTGTTCAAATACAGTCTCTGGTTGTATGTGGATTTCGTACATAATTTGGAGGCCCCTGATGTAAAATAAATGTGTACAGAAACTAGGGCTGGGCGATAAAACAATAACGATATATATCGCGATAGACATGTGTTCGATATCAATAGAGAATGGGGTCGATAGAATGTTCGATAGTTTAACTTAACTCCGTCAGGAAAAACAGGAAGAAAACACCGGAAGTAAAGCCGACTCATAAGCGCATGGCATTGTGGGGGATGTAGGCAGAGGCTTCTCGACCAATAACAGCCGAGCAGGAACCACAAAACTTTCTGGGAAATGCAAAAACACCAACAACCGCACCATGGACGCTACGTCCATGGATCTATAGCTCGTGTTTCAATGCCGTGTCAATGGTTATGCACGTACGTGGAATAACATGTGCGGCGGCAGAGGCAGTGGACAGACACGATGTATTCGGCGAAAGCAAGAGATTAACTTTTTCCTTGGGAAGCATGTGCGGCACAGAGAGCCGCACGGAGCGGTCACGGGGACACAAGACCCTCAAACAGCTAAACCAGGAGCTAAACCAGGAATAAAAAACCAGGATTAAACCAGGACTAACAACGAGGGACACAGTGTGAACATATTCCTCCAGCCTCATCGCCCCGTGACTGTAAACAAGGCTGCTAAGGTTGGTTAGCCCACACGACAAATATATTTATTTAGGTAAAAAAAAAAAAAACTCAATATATATTGTTATGGACCGATATGAATGACTTATATCGTGATATAGTTTTCAGCCATATCGCCCAGCCCTAACAGAAACAGTATTCTTTTCAAACTCACCTGCTACATCAGTGGCTACAAGCACAGGCAGATTCCTCTTCTTAAAATCAAAAATGACCTTGTTCCTCTCACTCTGGTCCATGTCTCCGTGAAGCAGGCCCAAACTGTAGCCCTCCTGGGTCAAGTTTGTGGACAGTTCTTCAGAGTTTGCCTTCTTCGTGACAAAAATAAGCACTGAGCCTGTGGAGGTGAACTCGACCAGCCTCCGTGTCAGCCAGTTCCATTTATCGGACGGAGTGTGAAGCATCTCCACAAGTTGAGTGACGTCCTCGTTGGCCTAAAACCAGGAGAAACATTTTACATTTAAGTAAATAACTACTGATCTTTATTTATATAGTGCCTTTCAAAGCGATTTACAATTGTTGTGAGCATTTGTCCCTCACTCCACACAGAGATGGGAGCGGGGTCACCATAGAGGAGGCACAAGCTGTACACAAGCAATACTATAGTTAGCTACTTTTAGAATGATCAATACATTTATTTTGTTTTCTATGTTTGGATGGATGTGTTTCTGCTGCTACTGGACATCTGAATTTCTCCTGGACATCTGATCAATAAAGTATCTGTCTATTTATCCAAGACCTATTGTACACGTTTTAGTGGTAGGGGAAGTATTAGAGCAACTTTTTAATTGATATTTAAATACCTGTTCCTGATTATTTACAGAAGAATCCTATACCATTTATGTAGTTATAGCTTTAATAACTGAATATGTTTTTTAAATGGTTTATTTCTGTATATTTTGTCTAAGTCCTGTCTTGTATCTTGTTTGTCGTGTATATTTTAATCTTGCATAACGTTTGAATTAAAAGTCTTACCTACTAGATGTAGTTTAAATTATACTTTGAGAACTTAAAAGAAAGTGTGTTACAAGTTAAAAATAAAATCCTACCTCTCCAATGTCTCCTTGCACAACTCGAATAGGATCCACCAGGATGTCTCTGGCCAGTCTCTCTATCTTCTTCCGAAAAGTAGCACTGAACAGAAGGGCTGTGAAATACATAACAAAAATAGTATTTAGCGCCACAGCAATAAAAATAGACTTAATCAAGGAAAAAAAAAATCTTACTTTGTCTGTCTGGACGCACGTGGCTGGCTACTGATCGAACCTGGTATTCTGTGAAATAACAAAAGGGACAAATGTATAAGAACAAGTTACATGTAAGAAATATTGTGTGTGTTTTAAAGTAAAAACCAACCAAAGCCCATATCAAACATGCGATCTGCCTCATCAAACACCAGATATGTGACCCTCTGTAGAGACGTGGCCTTCTTTTTTACATGGTCAATTAGCCGACCCTATCAAGCATGAAAACATAGTGCTGTTAATAGAACCGTGACATGAAGTTAATATATTTAGAGCAGATGTTTCTTACCGGGGTGCATACAACTATTTCAGCTCCTTCCTGAAGAGCCTTGGACTGTTCCCACATGTTTCCTCCTCCGTAAACTGCCACTGACCGCAGCGAGTAAGCTTTCCCAAAACGCTTACACTCGGCGTGAATCTAATGGAAAATCTACATTTTATTATGTTTTTAGAGAAAGGAAAAAAAATTCTCCCACTTGACCAATAATAAAATTTCTCTATATTGATAATACATTTAGCAATATCTTTTATTGCCGTCAAGTCAAATACATGTAGCAAAGCAATCATTTAACCTGTATGGCTCCACCCACACTTCTCAGGTGAAGTTATGTACAGTATTTAGGATTAAGAATGTACATGTCTATAAGATTGTGTGTTACAGTAATGTAAATACTGCAACTGCTAATGTGCTGTAAATATATGTATAACCTGACTCGTATGTATAATCAAAAACCTCAAAAACAAAGAGGTCTTATAACACAGTGTTAACAGTATTTAACACTCCATTAGTTTCCGCATTACCTGCTGACAAAGCTCTCTTGTTGGACAGACAATGATCGCAATGGGACCGTCTCCTGGCTGTAGCTCTTTCTGGTCCATGATGTGAACCAACATGGGCCAAATGAAAGCTGCCGTTTTTCCACTGCCAGTTTTTGCGATACCGATCATGTCACGGCCAGACAGTGCAATGGGTACACCCTTTGGAAACACAAAAGTGAGAGAGAAATCAATTGTACACAATCAGTATTGGAGAAGAGAGTGCATGGAAAACACATTTTATACCTGGCACTGAATTGGAGTTGGCTGAGTGTATTCTGATTTGCGGATTTGGTGCATCAGTTGTTCATCAAAGCTAAAGTGGGCAAAACTAGTGCATGGCTTTGGAGGAGCTGCCCCAGAAACCTAAAAAAATATTGAAAGAAAAAATACCAATCGTCCATTGTTGACAATTGCATTATTTATTACTTACCTTCAAATTCAGTTTTTGCCTGAGCTCTACAACCTGTAATCCATTGAGGACATTGAGCTCCTCATGTTCTTGATAGAAGTTTTTCTCAAATGGAGCATAATCAATCTGTTTAGGAATATATATTTAATACAAGGATGACACTTATCCACTTTGTGTATAGATTGTACCTCTGAATGGTCAATGGGTGGAAGGGGCAAGATAATTTTCTTTGTGGTAGAGGGAATGGGGTTTCCATCACTGTCATAGTCAACATTCTCCTCCTCTTCATCCAGTGCCAGCCCTGCGGTGGGATTCTCTGCCATGTAACGGAAGTAAGCTTCCTGCAGAGAGCAGAGTATATTGTGTTACAGAAGATTACGTTGTAATGACTAAAGGTGACTAAAATTACCAGACAGCAGCTGCAAGGGCCAATCATGAGAAACTGACCACAAAGTCAACATGCTCTAAAGCCGGGGTACCTACTTGATCAGGAAAATTTGTCTATCACCAATTCAGACCAGTTTGCCTACTGCGTTGAATTATAAGATTTATTGATTTCAAACATGCAAGTGGCTTTATGTTATGGAATAAGAGCAGTAGCCAATATAGCTCGGAAGCTGCATGTCAAAAAAGACATTTGATTAAAGAGATAGAAGCTGCTGCAAGTTTGACTGCCTTATTCCTCCTTTCATCAGTTTAAAACATGTACCCCAGCTTTAATACCAAAGCCATATTATTTTACATATGTGATATACGGTTTATGGAAATGCAACCTGCTGAAGTAACATGGGGAAGATATGTGATATAGAGACCTCCTTTGGTGGCAAAAAGACTTAAGACTATGAACTGTGGAGGGCTCACTCACTTGTTCATCCTCCTCTTCAATGTCATCACGAATACCCCTGAAAACAGAAGCGGAGAAAAAAAACTTCCCTGCGGCTTGTTCACACACCCACGTCAGCCCCTTTAACCCTATATAAAAGCAATTAACTTACCTGACATAAATAAAATGCAAAATAAATGTAGGGTACACAAGCTAATTCAATATTATAGACAAAATGGCACAAAAATGTCTTACTTGTCAGGAATCTCTAGCTCTTTTTCTTCCAATTTCTTCATATCTTTAGCAGCTTGGCTCTAAAGCAAACAATACATTATCACTATGAAGATAAGATATAGCTCTAAATATGTGTTTTTTCTCTTCGAATCACCTCAACTTCTGCCATAAAAGCATCCAATGGGTCATCTTCACTGTCTGAACCCCCACCAGACTTCATCTGCAGCCGTGTGGGGGAGTTCTCCGCTGGAATATAGGGAAGATCCACATTGTTGCTGGCATCCTCTTCGTCATCTTCAAAATACCTTTTAAAAGAATATTCATGATGGGTAACGAACGAACACTTCTGATTTCTCTTGAATTAATGTGAATATTACAGGTACTTACGCATTTTCCTCATCAAAGTTGGCTCGTTTTGTTCCAATTTTGTAGAAGGAGGGCAGCTGCTGGTTTTTGCCATATACACCGGATCCCGAGCTGCCAAATGTATTGTGTGATTTGTGTGGAGGTGGTGCTTCTTCTTTTTTCCCTCCAAGGGCAAATCCCCCAAACCCAAACCCTCGCTTGACACCTTGACCGCCCTTGTTCCAGTTCATTGTGGTCTATGAAAAAAAGAGACATGGAAAGAAAAATGTATTATTAAACATATCATCCCCAGTAATAACTATTCGGCAAAATTACTGCATGTTAAATGTAAAAAGTTTTAAGCCTTTATCACTTAATGTGTCTATGTATGTATTGGTTTGTCAGATGTTTTCAATAAGGAACTTACTAGTTAATATCAGAGACATTTGAATGACAACTGTTTACATTAAACTACTCTCACAGCATAAGGTTTTCCCCATGGGTTTTGAAAACTGTATTCACTGATAACTCCTTTAAAAGGTAGCTAAATACATGTTTTTGGCTTGATTAACAGGTCAAGTTTTTGTTTTAGATCTGATGTCCTTTTATTATTATATGTAAAAAACGGTGATTAGTGTCTGTGAAAAAGAACTCTTTAATGTATCAGCTTATTATTGAACAATGTATCTGTATTTCGGTCTTTGAAGCCAAACTGTACATCATAAATGCTTTTTATAAGTGCGTGATTGATTTTCACATTGAAAGTCAACATATGCAGCAACATGTATAATACTTTATTTAAAATACAAATGCATTTAAAATGTTTCACTTTATAACACTGAAATCATACATTTCTGTTTTGAACAAAAACATTATAGAGTTAGGAGCAGTATTTGATGAGCAGAATGCAGTGTGTCTGTGTAGAAGAGAACATTAAAGCTTTGACGCTAGCTTAACTAGCATTAGCTACGAGGCCGCAAACGAGAGGCGAGAAAGGCTCTCAAATCGACAAATAGACACAAACCATACATGTGTTTTTGTTTAGAGGCACGTATGAAATTATACAGATTGCAATCAATCCCTGAAAACATTAGAATTAAGTTAATGTTGAACAAAAACCTCGTAATCGCGGCGAAGTCAGGTTGTGTGTTTTCTGATACGACGGCCGACTGCGTCATCAAAACGCGCTGGCAGTGTGTGGGCGTGTGGCTCCTTTTCCGCGACGCAAACAGCTTTTTTTCACAGCGAAGAGGAGAAATGTCAACAAAACACTGCGCTGAGAATCATGTTTTCAGCAAGTAAACGCTCTGGGGACGTTCCTTTGTCCGTTATGCTGTTTTAATCACACAAGAGAAAAGGTATTTGACCGCATCATACCTCGCCGTGGTCTTTATTGTTGCCATAGAACTGGGCTAACGGGATTGCTCGTCGTTAGCGAACCATTAGCGATGGCTCGGCTGCAGATACATCTTAGTAATTCAATGAAATCGGAGGTTTTCCCGATTTTTTCGCTTTGGCGTTGGATGCATGCACCTATTTTACGTAAATTTATTCATTTGGGGACTACTACGACCGTCACAATGCTATTGCAGCGACCCGCGTTTTCTGTTTGTTTTACTGACTGGCATGTTTGTGCTTATAATAACCACATATACTCAAATAATCAGAATATCGTGAAAAGGTTAGACATGTTTTAATTATTTTACAAAGTAAGATAATACACAAGTAAAAAAAGCTTGAAATAAGCCTATGTGTGTTGAATCTAGGCCCGTATTACTAATATTTTGATGAGCTATTAATGGATTAGTTCCTTTTTTTTAATCTTAAAAATGTATACGAAGTTTGACCATAATGAAATTGGTAATGTTTTTTTTTTACCACATCATGTTTTAGTCTGTATATTTTTCTAAAGCCAATTATTCAATAAACAATCACATTTAAATAATAATTTAGCTACAATTAATTGTTGATTTTTACACAATATTTTATTATTTTGGAGTATTTCTGTATTACTTGGATCTCACACTAATTTCTTTCATGATTCTATTTAGCTCGTTGGCTTCATCTTTATAAAGTTATACATTCAAGAGGAATCAATGTCGTTTCTTGTAAGTAAACCGTAATTACTTCAGTGTGAACCTTTTTCTCTGTGTTTTATGCCTTGCTTCTTTTCTTTCTTCCCTCTGATCTATTAGCGTTGGGTTACTGACAAATTGAGTGTGGAGAGCCTGTGGGACTTGGAGTTTTTTGGAGGTGAGAACACAAAGCAAAAATTAGCCTTTAATTAATAACATGATATAATACACCGTTAGTGACTTGAACAATTGTTTAGTAGAGAATGTGATGTTGCTTTACTTTGCGTCCATTAAAGCATCAATAATATTTTTAGGCTCAATAAGGCTCATGCTTCACTCTATTGTGACATGTATCAAGATCAAGGCGCAGTGAGCTTTTTGGGCTTGTTTTTTTAAAAATGTTTTTTTTTTTTTTTTTGAGCGAAGGATCACAGCACATAAAAAGCAATGAAAATATATCTACTATTCTTTAAAATCTTTTGTGGTTATCATACCATTTCTTTATTAAATGCTACTGCATTACGGCTGTGCACAATGCTGCGTGCTTGCTTTTTTGCATTGCATTTCATTCATTTTGAAAGAACATCCAGCTGCTCTGAACATCTTTATTCAGCATTTCATATTGTTTCAGTCATCGCTGGAGTTACCAAAAATGACCAAAAGATTGTTTAATCTATTTTGTTGATGTTCCGCTCTGGCCCCAAGCCGCGGTGGCCGCTCTGTGAGCTGCTGCAAACACAGAACCTCTTCTCTTTTGTTCATGTCTTTATGTCAATGACATCGTTTCTCTGCCCCAGAGCAAGCTCAGGGACTCTCTCACAGGAAAGTAAGTGTGGTACTCCTGTCACTGCAACTCCATTCTGTGTGTGTGTGCGAGCATGTGTGCGCACAGACCAGTGTCACTAAAGGCTCTGCACTGATGCATGCATGAGCAATCATTCCATGACACTGTCCCCTTCAGAGAGCCACCACCTCACTCCCAATGGATCGCCACAGAGTACAGTCAGTGCATTTGAATTATACAGTGATGTTCATCTTTGGGCCTGAAAGGTCCACAGTTTAGCTGACTGTTTAATAGCACTGTTACACCACAGCAGTATCGTACACACTGTAGCCTGCATTACCAGTTGTGAAGTTAAAGTCTTGATTGTTTTAACAGGGTTTTGTGCGGTTACTTCCACTCAATCTAACTTTCTCTGTGTTTGGTGATGTTTTATGTTCTGTTTTGTCGATGGTGAGTTCAGTTAACAGTGTGTCTGTGCATCTCCGCAGACTGATGGAGGCAGATGGATAAAACTGCCATTGTGTCAGCTTCAGCAATGCATGGCCGTCCTATTCTGTATCTGATCAAAATGGCAGACTCTCCATTCGTCATTTGATTGGATCTAAGAATTGATAGCTGCCAGAGCATGACGAGTTATTGTCACATTGTGTCCAATTTGTGCAAAACAACGCTCATACAGTGCCTTGCGAAAGTATTCGGCCCCCTTGAACCTTTCAACATTTTGCCACATTTCAGGCTTCAAACATAAAGATATGAAAATTAAATTTTTTGTCATGAATCAACAACAAGTGGGACACAATCGTGAAGTGGAACGAAATTTATTGAATAATTTAAACTTTTTTAACAAATAAAAAACTGAAAAGTGGGGCGTGCAATATTATTCGGCCCCCTTGCGCTAATACTTTGTAGCACCACCTTTTGCTGCAATTACAGCTGCAAGTCGCTTGGGGTATGTCTCTATCAGTTTTGCACATCGAGAGACTGGAATTCTTTCCCATTCTTCCTTGCAAAACAGCTCGAGCTCAGTGAGGTTGGATGGAGAGCGTTTGTGAACAGCAGTCTTCAGCTCTTTCCTCAGATTCTCGATTGGATTCAGGTCTGGACTTTGACTTGGCCATTCTAACACCTGGATACGTCTATTTTTGAACCATTCCATTGTAGATTTGGCTTTATGTTTTGGATCATTGTCCTGTTGGAAGATAAATCTCCGTCCCAGTCTCAGGTCTTTTGCAGACTCCAACAGGTTTTCTTCCAGAATGGTCCTGTATTTGGCTCCATCCATCTTCCCATCAATTTTAGCCATCTTCGCTGTCCCTGCTGAAGAAAAGCAGGCCCAAACCACGATGCTGCCACCACCATGTTTGACAGTGGGGATGGTGTGTTCAGGGTGATGAGCTGTGTTGCTTTTACGCCAAACATATCGTTTTGCATTGTGGCCAAAAAGTTCGATTTTGGTTTCATCTGACCAGAGCACCTTCTTCCACATGTTTGGTGTGTCTCCCACGTGGCTTGTGGCAAACTTTAAATGAGACTTTTTATGGATATCTTGTGTGTCATTTTTGTAATTTCGACTCTGGAGTCCTCACTCAAAATAATATTAATAAAACATTGATCAAATATATGACCATGCTATTCACTTGATGCCTTGAGGATATACTTTTCCACAATAGAAGCAAGAGTAAAATGTTTAGAGTAACTTTTGATTAATTTCTTGCAGTATTATTTTGCCTCCTTCACGCTGTTTGTGTGTGTCTGCCCCAGGCCGATGAAGACAGCGCGGAGAGTCTGACCTCGCTGCCACGCCGGGACACGATGGGCAGCTTCCTCCCCGACAGCAGCGCCTACGAGCCTCTCACCGTCATAGGTAACACTCAAATCTGCATCAGACGCTCTACGCACTAAGGAACATAACATTATCAAACCCTTTGTTATAAACTTATGTTTTTCTAGGTTACATCTAGTTTAAGATGGAGTATTTTTGTTGAGTTTACTGCTCGATTGTATTTCCCTTGATATGGGCACTGTTTAGGACCAGGATAAAGGAGTCAATCTTAAAATTGACACATAATTATCTGCATAAAGATTGTTTACGTATTTTTTTTAATGCAGTTCAGAAAAGGTCAAGTATGTTTGATTAGATACATGTTTTGGGTTCAAGGCCACGGTCTGGATCAGCTGATGACCGTAAACTTGGCTCGGTACAGACCCACTGGGGAACATGTGGCCATACGCCGTATCAATCTGGAGTCCTGCACCAATGACATGGTCATGTACCTGCAGGTTTGGATTCCATGCATTTCTTGAATGAGACAAAAGTTCTATCTCTTTTGTGTATGACAGCTGTTTGTAGTGGTATGCCCATTGTACTTTTATGTTCCAACAGAGTGAACTGCATGTGTCCAAGTTGTTCCACCATCCCAGCATTCTCCCTTACAAGAGTATTTTTATAGCAGAAAATGAGTTGTGGGTCATCACCCCCTTCATGGCTTATGGTAATATCTTTCAAGTATCAACTGATATTTGCATTCATGCTGTATTTGTATATTTCCTAGCTGAATGTTTTTATTTTCAGGGTCAGCCAGAGACCTTGTCTGCTCCCACTTTGCTGATGGCATGGCAGAGTTGACTATTGCATATATTTTGTTGGGGATGCTCAAAGCCCTGGAATACATCCACCACATGGGATATGTCCACAGGTGAGGCCAACTTTTGTAATTCTGTCAACAATTAAAGTTGGTGTTCCTTATTTTCTTTTAATAATTTTTTTTTTTCCCGGAGGAAAAAGAAAGTTAGCGTATCAGACCAAAATGTGCTGTCTTTCTCTTTCTCTCTTACCTTTTATTTATAGAAGATAAGATAAACTTACACATTTGGCATAGATAGAATCACTCAGATTGAGCAAAAAGACGGAAGTGTGCAACATGTTAAGATTAGAAATAAAGTCTATGCAGGATATTAATTAAAATACAATTTAAAAAAAAGATGTACCGCTTTACATTTTTGTTTGAATCACAGTGTTTATAATATGGACTTTTTAGTGTTCCCTGAGTCATTAGTGCATTTAAAATGCTTGTGTCATTGGCATAAAAATGTGATTGGCACTGTTAATTCTGCTGTTGTCTAGGAGTGTGAAAGCCAGTCACGTGCTGATCTCTGCGGACGGCCAGGTCTGCATGTCCGGCCTGCGCAGCATTTTCAGTCTGATCCGTCACGGGCAAAGAGTGCGAGTGGTCCACGACTTTCCCCAGTACAGCATCAAGGTCCTCCCCTGGCTCAGCCCCGAAGTGCTTCAGCAGGTAGTTTACTATTGTAAATTAAAAGAATTGATTTGCAAATCTCATACAGCACAATACCTATAATAGGTTGGTTCATATCACATTAGCTTATAGAACTTTCAGTTGAAACTATTACAAAAATATGTCTGTAATAATGACTGTAGGCAAATCTAAATGATGCAACAAAGTTCAATGTATTCTGTCTTCACAAATAACAACACAATGAAAAAAAAAAAAAAAGTTGTGACAGTAGTCAAACACACATGTCAGTCCAAAGAAGGTTCAGATTCTACATTTCAGACTGAAATGATTTGTTATTAAAACCATTTTATTTTTTATGTTTTTTGTTTTGTTGTCAGAACCTTGAGGGCTATGACTCCCGGTCCGACATTTACAGCCTTGGCATCACAGCATGTGAGTTAGCCAATGGACACGTTCCCTTTAAAGACATGCCTCCTACACAGGTAACATTATTACTTCCATTATTTAAACATTTTAGACTTGCGCTGTTTGGCTGCTGGTTATTACTCCAGTCAAAGCAACGCACAGAATCCACTCATTCCATAGAGTCTTCCGATTAAAAAAAAGATGAAATGTTCTCTTAATTTGCCAATCTCCAGATGCTGTTGGAAAAGCTGAACGGCACAGTGCCCTGTCTGTTGGACACCACCACGATCCCCCCGGAGGAGCTGTCCCTGAAGCCCTCTCGCTCTGGGGCCGACTCTGGGATCTGTGAGGGTCCTGTCGCCGGTGGAGTGAGGCACACCAACGGAGACCATGGGTCCTCCTCCGGGGGACACCCCTACAACCGCACCTTCTCCCCCCACTTCCACGCCTTCGTAGAGATATGTTTACAGCGCGACCCAGAGAAAAGGTTTGACACGGACGTGAGACACAGGAGACTAAAAGCAGGAAGTAATGTTCTTGTTTCTCTCCTCAGGCCGTCTGCCACAACCCTGTTAGGCCATCCGTTCTTCAAACAGGTCGGTGCAAAGATTTAGCAAAGACTCCATTAAAGAATACTTATGTCGGCTTTGATGTGTGCGTCAATATTTGATTTAAAGCCATTGTATACTCATCATCCGCATGACTTTACGCTGTTACTCAATTTTAAGCAATGATGGGATGCTACAGATAAGCAATATATTAAACAATGTAAGGGATCACAATAGTTATTTTGTGGGAATGCAACATTTTAATATCAAATATATTGTTTATAGTTAAATAAGTGTGGTAGGTGGTGTATGACAAATGTATTTCTGAACTATACTGGTCCTCCTTTAAATAAATATGTTTCCACACATTTATTCTTTGATCTAACAAACAGTCCATCTGATCATTTGAATATATTTAAGTCCTTTATTTTAAATTCTGTTCTTTTTCCCTCCCAGATCAAACGCCGGCCGTCTGAGGCGCTCCCTGAGCTTTTGCGGCCCATAACTCCCGTCACCAGTTACGACCCATCCATCCCACAGGACTCCCCCTCGGCTCTGGCCAGCCTGGAGTCCAGCCTCAGTCACCTGGATGTGGACGACTGGGATTTCTGACAAAGGACGTTACAGCGGGACACTCCCATAGGTTACTTATGGACACTTTAAGAGCAGGAGATATTGTCTGCATCCAAATTTATGAGAATACCTCTTTGTTATTTTAAATAGAACCTTGGAGCGAGTTTGGTCCAGTGAAAATTAAAATCCTTTTAAAGCTGGGGAACCCAAAGATTGTTTTCACTCTTACAGAAAGAGTCTTGTAAGCGTGAAATGTTGCAAACAAATCAGACAAGACCATGCCATCCATTATTAGAAAACATTTTATCTTTTGCATACACACATAAGAAAGTTTTGAAAATGTGATGCTTGAGGCTAAGAGCTGATGGGTCCTCTCTTTTTCACTTTTTACTCTGAAAAAGACAGAAGACTTTTGAAAAAGCTGAAAAGTCTAAAAATAAATGTGGACACTAGTGATAGAACTAAAATTCCCTGAGAGTTTGGAACGAGTTTGACTGATTTGACATAGTTCCATTTTTAGTGGTTTGTATGTTAGGTACCCTAGCTTTAAGTGTTTTTTAATGCCACAATGGTCAATGGTAATACGCTGAAAGGAAAAGACTGGAGGTATTTTTACTGTATTTGTTTGCAGGCCTTGTTTTTGTATCAGTTCTGTTGTAAATAGTCCAATGTTAAAGGAGTTGCTGTTGGAGGATGTAGCCAGCAGCTGTTTTGCCTCTCGTCTCTTGCACGCTGCTTTTGCTGTATATGCACAGGACTCGCACTGACGGCCTCCGCCCCGGTCCCTGTTCAGATTGTACTCACAAAGAGCCCACGTAACCAAAAAACACCAGGATCAACCCAGGTTTCAGTCCCAGTCGGACGAGGAAGCTGCTTCTGCAAACCCTGGAGGACTCTCTACCTCTAGTTTTGGACCGTCGGATCACAAAGGGTTCAGCACTGGTCACGGGTCGCCTTTTCCAGATAAGGAATGGTTTCTAGATCTTTCTCAGACTGTTACAACTTTATTATACAGTTACTACAGCGAATGCTTTTAGTCAATGTGGTGGTTCTCTCACTTTTCACCTTTCAGACAGAGGTTTGTAACAGCGATGCCGATCGAAAGGCATCGCTGTACACCGCAAAAAAATGTGCTTTTTCCTCAGACATTTCACTTATTCTATTTGCACCTCATGTTTTGTTTTGCTTTGAATAATAATAATCTCATCTTGCTTAGGGTGAGGTCACTGCTGTGTTTAGGGTTGACAAAAATATTGAAAATCAGATATGAATCAATACTCAAACTAGTATCAAAACAAAAAAGCTGTTTGAGAGATTTTATCTTTATAAGAACAGTAGTATGATTAACTAATTGAAATTGATAAAGTATTGTTAAGTATTGGTTTTGAAATATTTCTAAGTTTTAGTAATGCAGCCCTAAAGTCGCATGTTCCATTTGAAGATGTTAATATTATTACCAGCATAAATCCCTAATTCAAATTTATGAACTGTTTTTTAAATGACATTTTTTGCGGTGTATCGTGTGTGTGTGACTTGACAAAACAAACCAGGGATAAAGAAATGGGAATATAGAGAATCAGTACATCTTAAAGCTGGACGGCCTAATCTTTCATTTTTCATAAATAACATGTTTTTCCCAATAGAAAGTTATGTAAACAAATCAGACAGTACGTATTATCTTTAGCAAAGGTGTAAGAAAGCCCTGTGAGTCACAATTTGACCCTTGGGGCTGAGTTCACTTATTTTCTGTCTGAAAATTCTAATCTAAAGATGTGACGAGGCCAAAAGTACAGGAGTCATAGAACCTGTTTTGAAAACGAAAAGCGAGTTGCATGGATTTTTATTATACTTCTAATTGTGTGAAAGTTAGGTACCCCAGCTTTAACTCATGTGGACTGATGGGTTGTATGGATACTGTGGATTCACCTTTGGACTTGGTGTTACTTTAGTGAATGCTCTATTGGTGCTTGTTATGTCTGGCTGCGTTCGAGTGAGAGCAAAGCAGTGTGCGGCGAATGTTATGTTCATGAAATAAAGTTCAATTGAATGCCACACAAACATTGTTATCAAAAAAATAAGTTTATTCAAAGTTTACACAAACAAAGAAGGGGTTGTATTCAGGTCTAATCCTCTTCTTCTGAAGGAGGTTGGTCAGCTAAAGCTGCATTGTGTTTTTCCATCTTCGCCATCAACTCTGGAATAAAACAGTTTTCAGTTTAACATTTTTATATTTAAACACAATTATAGGCATTTAATGAGTTATTGACAGCAAGTACATCCGTTTTGTTTTTTACTTTTTGCCTTTCCCTCTCCATGCCCCTCCCCCCCGAAAAAAATCTTCCTTCCCTCCCATCTTCCCCACTTCACTTCCAGACTGACATGCAATTATATTACTTATTATATTATGTTTAACTGAGAGAAAAAGGGTAAATAAATACAGAGATGATATCTACAACAACAACAAAAAATCCACAAAAGACAGGTAAAAAGAAAATTATTAATATGATAAAAACATGAGAACAATAATGTTATAATGCATTCTTAGTCTAACCTTTTGCTGGATTAAACACGCCGTTGGTCTGAGTATTGCACACATAGCAGCGTTTGGACTTGCGGTAATGCTGAAGGGCACACGTTTCACAAAAGTAGTGCTTGCACCTGGAAAACAATCATGAAACTCAATTAGCACGATTTATTTAAAGCTGAATTACTGAATGTATAAGAAAGACTTTACTTTGTGACGATGGGTTTCTTGAAAGACTCTCTGCAGATGAAGCATTTGAACGGTATATCTTCGTCGTCACTGCTCACCTCGTAGTTTTCCTCTGCAAAAAAAATGAGTTAGACGGTACTGTAGTGTAATGTATTTATGTCAGGATAAAGTTATTATAATAAACTCAATATAGACACGAGGAGTGGCCATATTTCCAGACTCACCGTTAGCCCCATAACTGCCTTCTTCCAGCTCCCTCTCGATTTGCCAGCCGTGTTTGTAGTCCGAGCGATCGTGAAGAAACTTACAGCTGTCTGGATACGCAAAAAAGAATATTAACAACTCAAATCATCATTTTTACAGTCGGATTTTTTATTTCAAATTTATGCAAAATGAAACTATAAACAAACAAGATACTAAGTAAAAACAATATACATAATAGACAAAAACAAACTATTTGATAAAGAGGTTGGATGAAGAAAATGCATGAATTCACCCCAACACAACCATATGAGGATAGACATTCATATATTGATACAATTATATGAATGGCCTGTGATTAGCAGGCCAATACATGTGAAGAAATGACTCGACTGCAGGGAAAATATGTACGACCTTGTAAAGTAGTGGCCTTCAAATAAGATCAAATGTTGGCCCTTAAGCAGTATCTTTAAAATGTTTAATTTGGAATATCATGTTTTATAATGTCGATAAATGATGCGAGTACAATCCATATAGGTGTACATGAAAAATGGCAAAAGACATTGTCAGAAAGCCATACTCTCCCATGCAGGGGTGGACGTGGGAGTAACTGAAGACACGCAGATGTAAAGAATGTAATGTATAAATCTTTATGGGAATAATTATGTAAAAAAAAAACTACCAAATCTGGTTTTAGAAGCAGGGGGTGTTTGTGCCAGAAGATTCTGATATTAGCATGGCTGGAGCAACAACAACTACAGGTCTGTTTGTGATGAAGGAACAATGTTGTAACACGGTTAAATACTCAAAAACACATTAGTCGGTGCACACCTCCGAAACCGCAGAATCCGGTCTCCTTGTAGTCCTTGCAGATGTCCGGCTGGTAATCCCACCTCACAGTCGCTCTCAGATGTTCTGGAGCTCGAATCGGCCCTTTTCTGTATAATACATTGATGTAAATGGCAGTTCATTTAAAAAATAATTCAAAGTGCTGTACTGTAGTAACAATTACAGAGCAACCTACATATTGGGTCATTATTTTAAGGTTATTGGCCATAATCCCTATCCATACCTCTCATTTTAAAGCTACAGGAAAACTAGGAAACCACTATTTTGTGTGAACAATGAAACAAAATATCTGCAACCCTAAAAATGTTCTAATTGCCAACAGTCACATTTGCCCCTACTCCTTGTTTGTTTGCAGCAATTCAAACAAACAAAAAATCTTCCTTTATAATCCATAATGCAAAGGTCACATGGGCCTATCCCTACTAATAAAACAATAATTAAATAACAATAATAATAACAAAGCTTGCATTCACCTGACCATTCCAGAGGAGGCATTGCCCATGGTTGTGTCTTTAGGTTTAATAAATTTCTGATAATTGTTAATGCCACGGTAGATTTTATCATCTTCTTTGCCGGCTATCTCCTGGTAAAAGTATAGCAAACGTTTAGACAAATACATTGAATTGTAAAATATTTTTCTAAATGCAGGAGAAAAACTACTACTTTCTAAATAATTGGACACAAACTCACTTCTTGGACTTTCTGGCTTCTCTCAAAAATTGCTTGTGCATCGTTGTCCCTCTCAGTGTCCAGCTGGTATGTGGCTGTAGCTCCCATGTCATTGGGTCCTTCTGGTTTCTTTAAAATTATAATATTGAAAAAAATAATTGCAGAATATGTTCAGATATAAGTCTCAGTAGTAAAACAGTTAAACTCACAGCTGATCGGGAAGATTTATAGGCGACTGTGATTTTTCCTTCTTTCTCTTCCTCGCTGTCACTGGAGGAAACAGTCTTTTTCTCAACTTTTTTTGACTGGAAAAAACAGCTTGATTAAGTTATTATTACAAAGTACATATTATTTCAGTAGAGGAACTTGTAACTGCTCACCTTTTGAATCATGGGATTGGCTTTGCCTTCTTTTCTGTTTCTTCTGATCACAGCACTCTCCTCTTCATCGCTGTCGTCGTCTGCATACACAAATAAAATGTGCATTGACATGAGTGAAATTGGAAAATAATATTAAGCAATTCTGCACGAGCACTCATATTTTAAACAGAATTTTGTTGATATGTTTTTTCTTTTATACATTTGCAGTTTTCATTATTATTAGTGCAGTGAACAAAAAAGTATGTTGATGAATGATGATGAATCCTATATCATGAGAGCGTAAGTGGCGTTCAATACAAGTAGGACTAATAATTAAAGGATTTACACTGAGCCAGATGCAAGCTGAATCCAAAATCTTAGGTATAGTTGATAAAACAGTCATGAGATATATAAGCTAAAGACAGACACACATACATTCAAGCACGTCCTGATCCACAATTCCAATTTGCCTTATATTTTGTTCATCTTCAAGTATAGGAGAAAATTCATACATAAAAATCATAACTGGGAAACACCACAGAGAAGTACTGTGGCTTGTGTCAATTATATAATTTGTGGTGAAACTGTAAATGCACAATAAAGTTTCTAAAATATTACAAATAGAAGGTAAGCCTATCACTTCGGCAGTGCATACGTGATAGTGCTAAATAATTGTGATTCCATTTATGGCCAAAAGAATCGTGGTGACGATTCCACACAAAATATTGATGTGCTGTAACTAATATATATATTTATATAATATATATTATATATATATATATATATATATATATATATATATATATATATATATATATATATATATATATATATATATATATATATATATATATATATATATATATATATATATATATATATATATAATATATATATATATATATATATATATATATATATATATATATATATATATATATATATATATATATATATATATATATATATATATATATATATATATATATATATATATATATATATATATATATATATATATATATATATATATATATATATATATATATATATATATATATATATATATATATATATATATATATATATATATATATATATAATATATATATATATATATATATATATATATATATATATATATATATATATATATATATATATATATATATATATATATATATATATATATTATATATATATATATATATATATATATTATATATATATATAATTACCACCACCACGTGAACATCTGTATATTGTATGCAACCTAAATATACTCATATTACTACTAGATACTCATATCACATCCATAGACTGTAAATACCACATAAGTAAAATGTAGTACATCATCCCCAACATGTAGTGTATGGTGCAGATACCAATGGCTAAAGAGCCAACGCGGGATTAGTGCAAAGTTGCGTCACTGAACGGAGAATAAAAAACTGCACGTATCAAGTGAAACATAAATGACCTGTACCGTCTTTTTCGCTCTCGCTTTCCGCTTGTCTCTTTCGTCCGGAGAATTTCTTGGTGGATTTCTTGAACAGAAAAGTGCAGGATCCTGTCGCTTTCGGCTCCTCGGACTCCGCCATCTTTGTTTGTGTGAAAACAGTCGGAAGAGAAACAGCGCCACCACGCGTCAGGGAGACACTGCCTACTACAATAAAATGTAGTATAATATAACAATATATTATTAAACTTTATTACAGACACGAGGTTCAGATGAGAAACACATCACACAAAAACAAAAACAATTATATATGCACCCATTTAATAGAATTAAAAAATTAAACATTGAGTTTAATGCTGAAGTCACCATCTGATTGATTGTTGACTGAGAAGATCCAGCTGTCCTTGATTCATATTTTATGGAGATCCAGTGTTACATGTTTTGTAATGATATTGTCTCTAATATGGTAATATGGTATTGTACTGTTCGACTGTTAAAACTTATACATATATAATAAATACACAAAAGCATAAATAATCTGGGTAACACTTTATAAAAACTACACCTTATTATAAGCTTACTAAATGCTTAAATAACACTTAATTAATCATGAACAATTCAATAATTTAGTGTGATCAACACTTAATAACGATTTAACTACTACAGTTAATAAATGCTTAACTCATAATTAATACATCTTCAAGTACTTCAATTGTTCATTACTATTTAATAATTTACTAATTATTAAGTAACCATTTGTTACTACATATACACAGATAGTTTGTTACACCATGATTAAACCACATGTCAATGATTAAAAATTGTATATATGATTATAAACTAATACTGCAGTGCATGATTTATTCAGTCAGTTAACAGTAAAGTGTACACGATTTACACTTTATCACACTTTTGTTAAAGACCCTTCTGCGTATCATAGTTAATGTTAGTGAAATATTAAAATGTATATACTATTACTGATGACAAAACAGCATAATTGCAGTATAAAATGTCAAAATAGATACATATTTTTTAACTTGTGAACACTTTTTTAAGCTTAATGAAATAAGTGTGTAATATCGTTTCACAAATCGACTAATCGAACAAATAACCGCTGTCTAGTCGTTGAATAAAATGTCTTGTTAATATTTACAGACTGTTAATTTGTTCATCGTGCATTTATTGTGAAAGGACAAACCGGATCTCGCTGCTACGCCCCCTCCGCTGCTGCTGCTGTGGACCAGGGAAGCTGCATCTCCATCGGCCTCATCCGCGGAGGACAGCGGGTGTTTGGAGGACACAGAGCCACGGAGGGAGGGGTGCTGGCCGGGCACACATGGAGACCCGCACCGCCATGGCTCTGGGTCTGACATCCAAGAAGACGTCTGCTCGGAGCGTCTGCGTGGAGCGGAAGAACCTCATCACAGTGTGCAGGTAAAGACATCACGACACGGGCTCCATCCAACTAGGAGTCCGTGCCTCAAGACCCATTCATTCCACCCAGCAACCACCACTGCTGTTCCAAGCCTGTCAATTTACTTCATATTGGTGAAATTGAATTAATGTTATTATAGAAAAGGACGTGCTGGAATTACAACCTGACAATGCAAATGTAATTACTGTATTTCCATATGTTGTGTGATGTCTGATATTTATGTTATTTATTCTACAAGTCAATGCCATGAATTCCATCTCCATCTCATTGTGGGACAAGGGCGTACTGTGCAGCTCAAGGACTCCATCCCCTCCAGTGAGCCTCCAGTGCCCCTCAGACTGTGCACAGGACAGGGCAGTGATGGACAGCAAAGAAATAGAGTCTATTCTTTCACTCCACCGATCAGAGGTCAACGTAATTTATTGTGAATTGCAATGACATCAGCCTCAAATGTTCATCGTATGCCTACTGTCTAAAATCAATAGCAAATGACAACACAGAAATGGTTTATTGGTGATTTCACAAAACTACCATTTACATATGTCTTTGCCTGCTAAGGATGTATACTTTGCTTGTTTGAAGAACTGTTCAAAGCCCAATGTAGTTCTAAAGTCTGCATTCAACTTCATAATCAACAAGTTATTCATCACTTAATATAAGAAGGTCCTGATTATGGCGTTGATATTATTATACAGAGAATGATTCTGATTTAAACACCTAACTTAAGTGTCTATGTGGAGGTGGGCAGATATTAGTTAAATTGAAAAATAGTATAGTGTGTAGTGTACTGTTTACGTTGCAAAAAAAATGATTAAGTAAAATAGAATCTCTTTCTGAATTTCTGTGGGCAAATGTACTTTTACATTGCTGATCCTTAAACGTTCACTGTGTAATCTTTGTCATCAGCGTTATGTATTTACTTTACACATTATATATACATTGCCTTCAGTGTTAAACTGGTGTTGTCACTGGAGGCGCAGATGACACAGATTGACAGCTTCGGCTCGTTTCCCCAGGGCAGCTGCTGGTGCTTGTGGACAGCTGCAGCTTACCACCACTGAATAGGCAGTGAATAGTTATATAGAGACGTTCAGCATATTAAAAATCCACTATATGAACCGAATTATGACAGGTTTTAGAGTAGAAACTATATAAATTGTTGCTTAGTCATATACAGTATTGCCTTAACCCGGGCATGGTCAAACGTTTCCCCCTATATACTGATGTTTATCGTTTATCGTTTGAAGATAAATTCCAATTTCAAAAACAAAATAGTCCTCTCCAACTATAAAAACTGGTTTGGTGAACCCATTGGACAGTATAGCACGTATAGTGGAGAGTTATGGCACTGGTAGTTGTGTCCTCCTGGGATTTACGACAGCATTACTGAGGAAAATCGATCCCAGCCGTGAACCTCTTCGCTGCCCAAGCATTGAATGATTTGGTGATGCAAATCCCTTTCGACAGACATGTATAATAAATATATGTTATCGGCAAGAGACAACAGAGAACGAGAGTCAAGCAGAGTTTATTTCACATGCATGGAGAATACACAGTGGCATGCCCATAAAGAAATAAAAAGTCACATTGGACATAGACACAATTAGAACATACACAAACATGGCTATGGTTCACTTAAGCCTGACCTATCGGCTAAAACTATTGTAATGAATTATACACATTTTATTGAGACGAATGACAAAGACAAAACTAAAATTGCCAAATTGCTTTACTTGCATTTTCTCTCCACTTTCTTAAACGAACAAACTATTGTATTAATGGAAGGAAAGCTTTTTGCCAGCGGTGCGTCTCCTCTTGTTGTCATGGTGCTGCAAATATTGTTTTGTTTATGTATTCTAAGCAGGAGGTGGAGACACTGTATTTTTTCCTTTCTGGCTAAGCTGAAATTAGTGATTTTTAGTGATTCAGACCAAGCCTTTTTAGTCCCTTAATGAATGCATGCATACATAGAATCACTATATCTTCACAATTACACACTTAAATGAATAGACATTTTCAGACAATTATTTTTTTTACACAAAGATGATCTCTTTCTGGGTTTTGCAAGGTTCACATCTTGTTGCCGGGTAAACTGTGACAAGCTGGCAACAAGCAGGCTTCTAGCTTGGTTTTCTGCTCACGTAAAGCAAATAAATACATGGATTTTGTCACATTATTTTGCTGTTTCAGAGAAGTTAATCTGCAGGCAATTTCATTCTTTTGTGTAAAGTGAATTAACCGATAGTTACTGGACAAAACTTGCTTCATATCTCTCTTTGTTAACCAAGTTGTAAAATGGCGAATAAGTTGTTTGGTGGGTACATACAGCAAGATACATAGGTCAATTATAATAATACAACAGTAGCACCATCACAGGGAACAGTCACATTATGCAAACTACATGCTATGAACTTAAATTGGCTAGTTTTACATTTACAAATGATGAAACATAGCACCATTTCACCAGACGTCATAGCATTAATCACTCAATAGTTGATCTGGAGGCTGCTTTGTCCGCTGCAGTTTCCCCTAGCAACAGGTTTTGCAACATGAAAGGACTGAAGCCTGTTAGTAGGAATCGATAAGACATTTGGGCAATTTAATGTTTGGTATAGTTTTAGCATTTTAGCTCTTTCCGGGTGTTGCAGAGGTGGTGTAGCCATGGGGAACCTAAAAAGGAATAAATAGGTTATAAGGACATTTGGTAAAGTATCGCTCAGTATTACAGTAAAGAGAAGAGGATGTTGTTGGAGATAGTTCCTGTTTTTGACCACAAAGTAACTACGTTTGATCAAACCGGACATGGATTTTCATTATAGTCAAAACTCTTGGTTATTTTGTGCTGAGAACTTAGGTTTTTGCCTTCCGGTTTAGGTCACAAAAGCTCTCTCACTATCAAAAACTGAACAATTCTTGCCAGACTTTTGTTCAGCATTGGCAATTCTACTATACAGTATGTTTACCATATTTTAAGAATACTTTTGCATATCTAGTTTTGTTTTGTTCTTCGTCAGTCAAACTAAATGATGACTCAATTCCTTTCTCTGTATTGTTTTGATGGCATCTGTTCAAAAAATGTCAATGTAAAATTATGATGAAAAGCCCTTTCCTATCAGATCTATTCTATACACATTTTTCCTTGAAACTCTCCGAAATTCTTTGCCTGCTTCTCCTCTGCACCTCCTCTGCACCTTTATACACTTTCTTTGACATTTTACACTTAAGCACCCAGGTACACTGATGAATAATAGAAAAGAGCTGCTCCAGTATTGCAGCTGACTTGACCAAATCACAATCTCAAGCTGGTATTTTTCTATTTAGTTCAGAACATCTTTCCAAATTGCAAGTAATACATCATCCATGGAAGCCGGTGTTGGATGCTGCTGGTTTTATCAATACAGGAAAGTGGTTGATTTGAAAACAATTGGAAGTTTGTGTGAAGCTTTATCCTAGGTGGCGATCAAAACCTGGGAATGTACAGTAGTAGCTGGGTGTCAAAGCAGAACAAAGGGAATCAAACAAAGCTTGAAGTGGGCTTGGCAGCAATCCAGGATGAGCGCGAGGGGGCACAAAAGAAAGCTTGTCCTGACAAGTCTTGCAGTTGTTTTTCAGTGTCATATCGTACCATGGCATGTTTTCCTATTCCACTCCACACATTTGCATGAGAGGCACGCTAGCGATTTTTCCCCACACATCAAAGCAGCTCAGTTCATTTAGCTGCAGCTGCACTCCTTCTTGAGATAAAATAGCTCCACTTTGGCGGGTCAAAAGAGGCCTTGAAATCACTCTTGCTTCAAGCTTTATCACATAAAGAAGTTGTGAAGAGAATAATGAGCGGTTCACTAATAGTACCCTGGGGAACCCCACAATCTGCATTGAGCTGGACAGTCAAGAAAGTGATTATTAATATCTTGTATGACAGTGGATCCAATTTATGTTACTTGTACAATTTTGTGCAGTTTCTACCATCAGTGCTTGCTTGTTCGTATGCAAAGGAAAGGAATTCTGATGAACTTGCATGCCAAATAAAGCATTCTATAGTCAGTTTCACAATAGCCACAACATGGAGCGACGTGTAAGCAAAATTACACTCTACTGACCTGTTTTCTTGATAAATCCAAACTTGCCCCAAAAGTCAAAGTTCCCAGAGTAAAGCTAATCCAGTTTTGGTTGCAGATTCCCTGTAAAGGTGCTGTTTTCTCATGACATCTGCTGCCCCCACCCCAAGATGAGCTCTATTCCCATCTACAGAGTCTTTCGTTTTGGGAAAAAGGCTTTCCGAAAAGACGTGCTGGTGGTGCCTCTGCTGAAGGATGCGCCGCCCAGTGAGATCTTGGTCTTTCCGCTGGTGATGGTGGAGGACCCCAGCGATGTCAGTTTCCTTCCGCGGGAGATGGATGAGTTTCCCATGTTCAGTTTGGATTTGCCCCTCTTGATGGTGGTGTTGCCCAGGGTTAAGGCCGTCTTCCCCTCGGTGAAGCTGGTGTTGCCCATTAGGGAGCAGTGCGTCTACCTGACCCAGATTTGTTAGTGGAGATCGGGGCTCACTCAAAGCGAAGCATCGCACACGCATGCAGCACAACCTGCTCTGGAAGCTCTCGTGGGTAATAGTAACCCAGCCGACCAGAGCTGACCAGAATGCTAAGGGTGGATTGCGCGACCCCCGTGGTGCATAATGCCTTCGTTGAGCTGACCGACGTGGGCTCTGGAAGGCCACATACCACCCCTGTGTGCTGTGAATGGACAGAGGCAGCCATAGGTGGCCACAGCCTTTCTGGGCGGACCGGGACAGTGGTGCGATTGTCCCATCTCCACGACGACACCGGACGGTGAAGGACACATTGTTAGAAAAGGAGGCTATGGGGTGACATCACTTTCATCTCAGCCATTGTTCTATTGCCCCTGATTGTTGGAGTTAGCTTCTGGCTGTAGCCTATATTGCACTAAAATTTGATCAAAAAGTCCATAATGTATCATATCTTCCATGCATATGTAATTCACTGAAGACACATTGATTTTTGCAGCCTGACTTTTGCAGAATGAATGTGGTTCCTCATTTCTATATGAATTGTCTTCTAATATTTGTTGTGCATAATAGCATAGACCAATCAAAACCAGGACGTTTTGGACAGGTTACTTTTATGAGAACTGTTACAACATGATCTTTCACAGTCATTTCGTTGTTAAACACTGGGATCCTTATAAGTTATCAGTATAAATTATTTGCTTGCACACATATTTTGTATAAAAAATGGACGCTGTGCCTGTACATGATGTGAGACTGCTTGTGCTTCGTCGGTTCTGGTTTCCCCTCCCAGCCAAGTTGACATGAACCATTCTCTCACCGCCGTTCTGTCTCATTTGCATAACATTCTGCATGGCTGTATACAACTCATTCTTGTTGCAAACCCATTACATTGACTATCTCGCTTCCTTACAGCGGCCACACACAGCGGTTTTAAATGAATGATAGCAGCTTTTCTGTACATCTTGTGCTACTGACCTTCTAACATAGAACAAATTGAGATATCCTTGGCTTTTTGACTCTGTGCTAATTTCAAGTGTGAACGTTCCAGTAGATGTTGCTGTGTTTTTCGGTGCCTCTGATGAAGGTAGTTTTGAACACAGAAACAGACTTGGTCCTGTAGGAGAGGGTCACGGTGGTGAGCGAGGTGGTGTTTTCTCCTCGTATGATGGAGGTATTGGTCACCGACAAACCACAGATGCCCAAAGTTATGGTGGTACGGCTCCAGGAGACTGAGTATTTTCCCCAAGAGAAGACGTACCTAGTCCGTGAAATCACAAACCTTCCTTTAGTGAAGGAGGTTTTACTTGTCGAGAATGTAGTTTGCCACTCATTGCTAGAGTCTCTTTTGGACTGCTTGGTTGCTTTAGGAGTCCCGGGGCTGCTGTCCATTTAGGTGTTCTTGCGCCTCCCTGTGAGAGCCTTGCGGAACGAGGTGGTGGTACTTCCCCGGCTGAAACTGGCCCGTCCCAGAGCCACAGTTGTCTTTTGCCTCTGGATAGTTGATTCTCCCATGGAGGTGGTGGTCACTCCCCTGAAGATGGAGGAGTTACCCATAGACACGGCCGTCTTTCCCCTGGAGATGGACGTGCTGCCCACAGCCAGGGCAGTCTTGCCCTCGGTGATGCTGGTGTTGCCCATTGTAGCAGAGGCTGTCAGCCTGTGCCTGGAACCTCGCTCTTAACATGCACACTGCAGAAACTCCTGTGTGCGGCACTGACAGCTCGGAGGTCAAGAGCCAAACTGAATGTGAGGCAGGGTCAGCCCTAAATAGATCACGCCACAATAGTATATGTATAGATGAGTCTGAGGGCACTGGACCATCATTCTTTGAAGCCGCGGTCCCTCAAAGAGACAAGACCCAAAAGGACCTGGAAACTCCTCATACACAAAGACACTTGTATTGTCCCTGTGATAGCACTCGCACAGGCCTGAAGGGACACATTGTGCACCACACAGGACAATTGGGGTGACCTCAGTGTGATAAGATGGCATGCCTCCCAAAAAGCTCAGTCCTCTGCCTGCTATTGTACTAAAGAGTTCAAAGACCAAAGCATTTGTCTGCATTTCTATAGTGGAAACCAGCATCCTTAACTTTGCAAATCTAACCGTTTAAATGATTTAAACTATTTTGTGTCTTAATGTTGGTGTTTTAACTTTTTGCTTTGTTTACTATATTTCAGATTCTCTGTAAAGACTCTTCTGGAGAAGTACACAGCAGAGCCCATAGACGACTCGTCTGAGGAGTTCATTAACTTTGCTGCTATTTTAGAGCACATATTGAGCCACCGCTTCAAAGGTAACAAATCAGGTAACATACAAACATACAAACCATAAAAATGAGCCAAAACTTACCACAAAATTACTAACACAAAATATCTGGATTTAGTTTTGAAATATGACTGACAGATAATGTAATATTAGCAAAGTTATCCATCGACCTGTGTGTATGATGTGGCTGTTGTGCTGTGGGGGCATTAATATATGTTTATATTTTCTTGGACCAGGCTCAGGAAGTTGGTTCAGCTCCGATGGCCAGCGCAGCTTCTGGGAGTATATTCGGCTGGCGTGCAGTAAAGTGCAAAACAACTGCATCGCCAGCATCGAAAACATTGAGAACATCAGCACATCACGAGCAAAGGCAAGTTTATGTTTAAGTTCTTGGTGAAGTACAGTATATTTTTCATGAATATATGATGACTGTTTTACCAGGCCACAGTAATAATTCAACATGTAGGTTTAAAGCTGGGGTACCTAACTTTCAAACTGCAAATAAACAAACTTTGTAATAAAATCCAACTGACTACAATAGTTCCGGATCTAAAAATCAGTTCTATCCATATGCATGTATTCCCTGTCCTCTGTCACATCTTTGGATCAGATTTTTCAAGGCAGAAAAGGGGAAAAGATGGGACCACCCTCACTCAGCCAATCAGCTCTCAGCCCCCGAGCATTAAATGGTGACTCACAGAGCTCTTTTGTACAAACATTTCAAAGATAACATGTTTCCTAATCGTGTAGGGTCTCATTTGTTCCCAACATTTTACTTTTAAAAGACTTCCTTCTATTAAGACAATGGGAAAATGTATCCTATATGAAAAAAGTTCAGCATCCCAGCTTTAAGTATTTAAGAACTTGTTCAAAAAGTTCAATTACGTGGACAACAATTGAATTTTCTACCACCATAAGGCCCTGTCCACACGAAGTCAAGCTCAGGCCTAAACGCAAAAATACTTTATCAATCCAGTGTATCGTCCATACGATGCCGGCGTTTTGGGGGGGTGTAAACGAACATTTTTGAAACTAGGTCCCAGAGTGGAAAGATTTCAAAACTCCGTATATGCCGCTCCGTGGTTACTGCCTCTCCGCAATGTATCTGAGACGCTTGCGTCATCGCCCCGCCTGTTGTTAAAGCACGCATGCGCCGCACTCAGAAAATAATGACAACAACAATGTAGCTTGTTGGTTTTGTAATCCAGTGCGACCCGAAGCAACAGTTCAACCTCATCGTCCGTCCATACTAATGTAGTACCAGCTCGCCCACTCGCCATGTTGTCTGTTTACAAAATTCTGCGCATGCCCAGTTCCCGTCACGGAAGTTTGGGCTTGATCCCGTCATTGCGTCACAGCGCCACCAACAGGTCTGGCATAGTTTCACAGCGTTTTCAGGCGTATTGACTACATTCATATGGACGCACACATTTACTGAGCTAACTCCGTGTTTACAGAAAAAGTTTCTGAAATTATAAGCGTTTTGTCTTCGTGTGGATATAGCCTAAATCTGCTCTATAATAGCGAGTGAATCTTTGTCACATCCTTTCTGTCATGTACAGGGTCGTGCGTGGATCCGAGTGGCGCTGATGGAGAAGCGTCTGTCTGAATATGTATCAACTGCTCTGAAGGACACCAGAACCACCAGGTCTGTATTTAAATGATTCTTTCTGTATTTTCTTTTTTACTTATTTGCTAATAATATGTGTGATTAATTGGCCAATACACAAGGGAATCTGTGTCATTAAATAGTAAAAGAATTGTGTATGATTGTTTAGTGTAAAGGCATGGGTTGAATGCACAACTTTTATAACACTGCGATCCAATGTATTTGATCTATAGACTAGATTTACATAAAATACTATAATGCTATCAATGTACCGTTATGCAGTCCTTATGACATTTCTGAAATCTTCCCACTGAGGGATGAATAAGGGGTTATCTTATGCAGTAAAATTGTATGGACTACGCCAAGATTATTAGTTCTACTTCAAGAACTGTCACCAGCTCATTAGTCTTCACCGAAACTAACTAACTAATAAGATAGACTTTATTGATCTCACACTGGAGAAATTTACATGTCACATTTGGCAGGGATAAAATCACTCAGATTGTGCAAAAGACTGAGGTGTGCAAACATGTTAAGGTTAAAAATATATACATTTAGAAAACACAATGACCAAAATACATAAAAAAAAATATAAAAACATTTTTTTACTTTCACAAATTGGACCCGCTTTGTCCAATAGCCCATGATATGATTCAGTGATTTTCTGTCAAACTAGAACATGCCGTTAGTATTTGTATATTGCACGTGGGAGAGTTGTAATGGTGATTCCACTGACAGGAGGTTTTATGACGATGGCGCCATAATGCTGAGAGAGGAGTCCACAGTCCTGACAGGGATGCTCATCGGACTAAGTGCTATCGACTTCAGGTGACGAGGCTTTTTTCCATGTCGACTGCAATTTTTTGTGTGATAAAATGTTTACCATGTTCCAGAGTCTGTTTTGTCTTAAATGTGATCAGTTAAACATGTGCAAATATGACTTTTTTGGTCTGATTTGGGATTGGATCTTGTTTCTCATCTGTTTCTGTTTAGCCTTTACATACTTGACCAAAAATATGAAATTTAATATTCATCATTTCTAATGATTACAAAATCATAATTATTTTATTGCCATTGCAAATACCACCAACAAGACGTTTTCTTTGGTAAATGATGCAGATAAGGAATGATGGAAATAGTTCAAGTAGATATAACGGCATGCATACAAAAGCCATAATATAATGTTTAAAATATTATATATGGTTAATAAATACATGTAAGTACTTTGTAATCACATTTAATTCATGACACAATCTATTACAGAAATGTAAATGACTACATTTACCAGTATAGTAACGAGTAACACAATTTCTAACCTTGTTATTGTCTTTTTCAGTTTCTGTCTCAAAGGGGAGGCTCTTGATGGAAAATTGCTCGCTGTAATTGATTACACTCCTTACCTGAAGTTCACTCAGAGGTAACTCTACTTGCTTTAGACATTGTTTTGAAGGGTGTTGCTAATGCAGATCAATGTTAATAAAACAGAAGTACTGTTTAGTTTTGGGAATATCTCAGGTCAAATTACACTCTTTACAGTCACATGGCTGTGTTTGAGCCAGATATTTCCAGAAAAAAACAAAAAGTAACTTCTCCCTCTGGTGGTGGCATAGGGAGCTACAGGTGGAAAGCATTTTTGACCGTTCGTACTTGTTTCACTATATGATTTTCCACTTAAGATATAATTTCACATTCTAAAACAGGAAATGGCAAAAGTAAATAGTGTCATCATCATATTTAAACACCAAAAATAATGCATCATGTTTATTCTTTAAAGTGAGATTTCAGGATTAGCTTGTTTCCTGCCCTGTCCATCCTCAGGGTAATGTAATGTAATGTAATCTCATCATTGCAGTTACGATTACTTGAGTGATGAAGAGGACAGGCGCAGCGTGGACAGCAGCAACAGTGAGGAGAGCGTCCCGGAGCATCCTTACATCCCGCTGGTCACCGACGAGGAGAGCTGGAGCAACAAGTGCCGCAAGATGGAGCAGCGGTTTAAGATCGTCTACGCTCAGAAGGTAAACATCATGAATCGTCCATTTTATTTTTGCCAAGGAGCTAAGGTCGCGGAGGCAGCAGAGATGGCCAGACTTACAAAACAATAACTCACAGCCATTGAAACACACACCACAATACAATACAAACAAAAAAAAGAATCCAAACCAATCCTTCTTTAGGTCTGTGTCGAGCCTTGTTCAAAAACATCAAACTATCAAGATATCTACAGAAACACTACAGAATGACCAAAACAAAAAACTGTCTCATAAAAATAGGGTAATAGATGAATTTAACTGTTTTTAGTAGAACAATTCCAGACTTTCTGTGCCAATGTAATGTCCCAATGGGCCGTGGATGGCCATATTTTGTCATAAAAAAAACAAAACACTTTTGACAAACAAGGACAAAAATTTACTTATAATAAATTCATGTTTTATTATTATTGTTATTATTTTTTTTTCATTAAAACTTCATTAAGAACTCATATGCAGGCATGAGCAGGATTATTGTAGCTGTGTATACAACTGAGGGATTTTATATTTGTATCTTTATTTTTAATGTACTGTGATTATTTATGCTTTTAATGCTTTCTTATTTTGTTCAGCACTTTGAGTTGCCTTGTGTATGAATTGTGCTATACAAATAAACTTGCCTTGCCTTACCATTGCAACAACACATCTTCAGTATAGGGTAAAACTAACCTGTCTCACAAAGGTCTAAACCCAGCTGGGTGAACAATCCAAGATTTGGTCAATTTTATATCTAATCAGCTAGCTAATAAGGTGAATTATGAAAAAAAATAATAGTAATTAATAGTGTAGCCTGTGTGATATGTTTTAGGGTTACTTGGAAGAACTGGTGAGACTCCGAGAATCTCAGCTAAAAAACGCAGAGGGCGACAACAAGCACCTGAGGGCGAAAGTGGACGAGCTGACGCTGCAGAGCCAAACGGAGAAGAAGGAGCTGGAGGCCATCATCCTGGAGCTACAGGCCCAGCTGTGAGGACACACGCACACCAAAAACACACCATGACAGCAATCACAGCTGCACAAAATGATTTGAAGCAGATTTATGAAGGCAGGGCACGCACATACACACGTCCATTATCTTTCGCTTTATCTGGGGCCGGGTCAGGGAGGCAGCAGTCTGAGCATCGAGGTGCAGACTTCCCTATCCACGCACACTTTCTCCAGATTTATTATTTAATGCCCTTAAAACTGATTGGCTGAGTGAGGGTGGTACTCTTGTTCTATCTGAGGCCGAAAATACGTACATGGTAAAACTAGTAATGGAAGGAGCCAGGAACTAGTTACATGGATTTGAAAACATATTTATTTTCTTGTGAACTGAAAGTTTGGTACCCCAGTTTTAAAGCTGCATTACCTCACTTTATTTTTGTATTGTATGGTGATAGCTCCGTGCGGGGAGGGCGAGCAGAAAGAGCGAGGCCAGCGCGCACTTTCGAAAATTTCACAAAGTCAGTTAGTGCAGCTATAAGTATACTTGAAGCAACATATTTGAAAATGCCACTAAGGATATTAATTTGTTTTCATATGTTTTCTGCAGCTCCTCCTTGATGCCCTGTGACTCGGCTCATCTCAGTAAAGACCTGTCCATCCCTTTGGTCAACCAGTGGTCCACAGTCGCCAACAACCAGGGCCACAACAAGCTTTTCCGCAGGTAACGCTTTATGCAAACATTGTAATATAAAGTACTATTAAAAATTGGGATAAATAAAGGACCTCTTAATATTGGTATTGATACTTGTACGTAGTTTTGATGCTATTGCCAGACCCATTACATTTCATATTTGTTATACATATTTATTTATCCTCAATGAAAAACAGTGCATTTCTTACAAAAATCCTATTTTTTTTCAGTGATCCCAAACTTTGAAACCTAAAGGTATGACTGTGTTTTTGTCTCTTCAGGAGGAGCTTCCACAGTTTGGACCAGCTCTCGTCCGACGTTAGTTTAGATTCTCACATATGTGAAGGGAAACAGAACGGAGACGCTGGATGGACCTCAGCAGGTATTTTCACTATCGCTGCTTTTGTACGAGTGGCGAGGACCTAGTGCTTATAATATTATATAACTGCTTTTAAACATGAGTGGGCAACTGAAGCTGCTTTTTCCTGAGTGCAGTTGAGTCACCAATTACTCCTAAATCTTATAATACTGTAGATCAGAGAGGATAAAGAAATTAGCTTATAGAGTACAAAAACATAACACATAGACTTACTCAATCACATAATACACTAAAAAATGTCTTGAGGCTTAACCAGAAGTAGGTTTGAGAAGAGACACATTGAATAGTTGTGAAAAAATGCATAGATTATTTAGCTCGAGCATGGATAATATATTGACACATATTTAACACCAAATGACAAGTGAATGCTGTGAAATAACAAATAAGTAATTATTGTTCAAAATGTTCTGCAGTGAAAAAACTGTGACTTTTGATGTAGTAAGTAATTTAATCTTAATTTATCGAGCCTCTTTTACAGATACAAGTCAACAAGTGCAATAAACATGAAAAACCCCATAAAAAACTGACAATTGGATATATTTTATGAATAAAAATGACATTACCTGTGTAATTTTGCCGGTTCCATGTTAGTCATTTATTTGAAAACTTGATGAGAAAAAGAAATACTGATATAAGATGTGAGCTCAGAATTATGATTTTATTAATTCTACTCAGACCTCTTCTAATACTCCATCTTTGGGACTCGCACCAATCGGCTTCAAACTCACTGCTGCTGGATTCATTTAGTTTTAAAACGCTTTCGTTCCACAGTATTTTCCTGGAGCAGAAATGTCCTCTCTCCTCCGCTGTATAATGTCTGTATGAAGGCCTCCCATGCACATGTCCATATGTTCAAACCGGTACAAAGGCAGCCTGTCTGTGTGTGTGATCTGCAGTGGGCAGCTCTCAACTATGTGTGTGCTGTAGTGACTGAGGGGCTGTAAAGTCATTTATCACATTATTCCACCAAAACGTGTCTCAATCAACTCATTTTCTTTATGTTATGATAACTTATATGGGACCGCATCAGAAAGTGCAGTTGATTTGTTATTGCTTACTTATTCTACGTTATTTTATTGGTATTCTGTTTTTTTGTTGGCTGTTTTAATGTTATAATCTTCTATAATCAACAATCAAAGTGACATTTTAGTCTGAACAAAAATAAACTTTAGGGCTGCTGAATATATAGGAAAAAACAAAACAAATCACATCATGGAGGAGAAGAGACAAACGATTATGAGAGAAGCAAAAACTTGTAAACACACTGTAGTTCCAACATACATATTGAAATATTTATTGATTTCATTTCTCCTTTGTGAGATCTATCAAGTTTTATCGTGTCTTGTTTGGGGAAGGAAAACATAGCAATATATGTCATTATCAAAGTCCTTTACACCACTATTGCGTATTTTGCTAATTTTCAATCTCGTGCAGCCCTTGACTGAGCATGTTTTTTGTCATTTTTGTAAACTCTAACTTGAAGTAATCCTGCTTTTTGTCAGTAGGAAAAGACGACACCCCTTCCATGTTGGGCCTGTGTGGTTCACTGGCCTCATTACCGAGCTCCAAGTCCCTGGCGAGTCTCAAGTCCAGTGAATGTCTGGTTAACATCAGCACCGAGCCGAGTCCTGCCCTGTCTCCCAGCTAGGGGGCGCTCAAAAAGGTCTATTTATGTACCCCAATGTCCTATTCGCAATCTTTTTTTTTTTTTTTACAGGATGGCTGGGGAAGCATGGCCCCTGAGTGATTGTTGTGCAGTAGTCCTGTGCTAGGTTATGTTTAGGAATTGGTTAAAATGTGTCTCAGCCATGGATGTATAATAGGTAAAGTTTATAGGGAAGGGGCTTTGGGCTTGTCTGAAAGCCTATTCCCCTGCCGTCCTGTAAAAATAATAAAATTTGCGTCCCGTTCGCCTGGTGATGCTGCGTCGGACAAACCACCTGACCAAAACCCTGCCTTCACCGCATCTCCACAACAACCGGAGAGCTACAGCAACGCCTCTTTTGTGCACAAGAAAGGCGCCAGTATTGGGCTAACAATATCAATGACTTTTCATTTACAGATATATGTTAATTTTGTTTATGTTAATTTATTCTACACTTCTTTGGATCCTGCAATGCTGAAAGCTGATATATCCACTGTTATGAGCCTCATTAGTGTCAAACAATGTTAACATTTTAACAGCAGAAGTGTACAATGGTTTATTCCAGTTCAACCGCCTGGACAAAGTTCTGCAGCTGTTTTTTTGGTTAAAGATAATTCTCATATTAATTTATTGTTTTTTTTATTTACAGTAATCTTGGAATCTTGGTGGGTTTTGTGTTGCAATAAACTGCCTTTTCCATTACATGTGTCTCTGTGATTTATGTGCAGTTACAGCAATACTTTGGCGCCATCTGGTGGCCCAAAGTGATATCAAGTTTACAACTATCTGTAACCTATTTATATAATATACATGCACAAGAAATCTGGTGGGTTTGGGTAAAAACAAGTTTGGTCTATGCCATCCAGTTAGGATATAGCTGTCAGTTCAACAGTATCACTATTAAAAGTACATTTGTATGCCATTACCCCTGTTCTTAAGAGCATTTTCCACACCATCCATCCATCCATCCATTTTCTACCCTTTAATCCATTTCTGGGTCAGGGGGGTGGCAGTCAGAGATGCCACCCAAGTCTCATAGCACCAGCCCCTCACTGACCCTCTGCAGGTGGTGAGTCCACAGGAGGACGGATTCCACACATGCTGTGTAAATGTAGACTATAAGCATTTAGTAGTTTAACGTAGTTTTTTTTATTTTTTTTTTTTTAAAGGTGTTGAATAATGAAATGTATATCAAGTTACAAGAACCTTTAAACAGACGTTTAGAGAACATTAAATTGGAGAATGAAAATGTATACAATGTTGGAGTATGAAGAGAAGGAACTTTTCTGCAAGAGTAGGATGCAGTATTGATAATATAAACTACATATTTCCCAGGTAAAATCTAAAAGTAGCTTAAAAAGTCATGTGTTTTAGTGAGTGGACCTGGACGTAAGATTCTTTTATTCACTTACGACAATTTCATATCTATGTGTTAGCGTGTACTCATTACAGTTTTCATATGGATATATACATTTTAAGCGTATGCAATTGATTGTATGATTACTGTTGTGGAGCACTAAGAAAAAGTTTGTGTTGGTAAAAATATGCTGTTGAACGAGTCAGAAACAACCCGTTATTATAATAGATCTATGAAACAACCTTCAATATAATTAACCAAACTTACTGCAACACATGAACAAATGAACACCCATGCTTCTTTTTACAATGGCAAATGACCTGAAAACTTTTCTTTTGCTGTTGTTAAATGGGGGAGGTGAGCCTGCAGACAAGTGGGTGGGAATAAAAACTTTTTGGGGGCTTTCCTTTATGGACTGACAGCTCGTGGGCCCAATACGCTTAGGGAAAGCGTTCTATAGGAGCCAATAAGGAGATCTTTAGGTCTTTAACTCTATCCAAGCCTCACTATTCATGAGTTTTGTACTCTGCAGGAGAGAGTTACACTGTTTAGGCTTGTGTGTTGAGAATTTGACGACTGGGGAAGCAAGTGGCAATGTCCTGTTCGTTTTTTTTGCCTTGGATAACGAAATTAATGTGCTTTTAACGTGATTATTACTTTTTGTCACTTCCAAGCTATTACGATTATATTATATAGTTGTAATTACCAATATATACAGAAAAGGCATGTATGCAACTTGTAAGAAGATGGATTAAATTGCAGCCTTCGTCACATGCTGTCAAACTAGCGTGGATTTGGAATTTGGAGACGGGAAGAGGGGGAGGTCGTGTGGGACTTGAGCCGGGTGGAGAGAAGGGGGATGTCGGGCAGAAGTGGAGGTGTTCCCCGGGGGTCTAGCTCCTCCATGCAGCCGGTCAGAGCCACGGTCCCGTTCCAGCTGCAGAGACCTCTCCTGCTGCTGCATCATGGAAGGAACGAGGCCAGAACTGGTAAATACACTGGAGATTAATCAACAATCAATTAAACAAGTCAATTAAAGTTGGGGTATCTCATTATTCCCTGATCAATAATACATTTGGTTAGTTCTAACGAAAATAGCCTTGTAAAAGAAAGATTTTGTGAACAAATCGGACAAAAAAACATGTAATATTTTGTATACTTGTAAGAAAGAGCCTCGTGAGTCACTATTTGACGCTTTTGGCTTTGAGCTGATTGGCTGAGTGAGGGTGGTCCTCTCTTTTCCACGTTTCTGTCTGAAAAGGCCGATCTCAACTTGTGTAAATAGATGCATGTGGAAACTAGTGATATAGACACTAGCTAGATTGTTTTTTTATTACATTGTAAGTAAAAAAAATAAGGACCCTAGCTTTAGGTAGAGTTACAGGCCTTCACTTGACTGGCTGCTACTTGAGTGGTGATGGTAGCTTTTTAAGATAAAGAGGTGGTTTCCCCAAAATGTAGCTCTTGTTAATACCTCAGAGTTAAATGCATGTTTGTCACTCTATGAGATTTCATATGACAAAGATAGCTTCTATGCTGCACTTTATAATTGTAGAGAGGCAGCTGTCTTAAAGCTGGGGTCCCTAACTTTCAAATCACAAATAATTATAACTATAACTATGTAATTAAATTTTGTCGGGCCTCTGTTGCATCTTTAGAGCAGCTTTTACTGACAGAATAGTGACAAAGAGAGGACCACACTTCCTCAGCCAGTCAGCTCTCAGTCTAAAGGGGTTCCACTGCACAGTCCAGAAAGTTCTAAAGAATATGGGAGGACTTGTCATGTATTGATAGGAAGTGGTGCTAACAACGTTAAATTCAATAACAACATGACACTTTGTGAAAATATGTTCGGATTGCGATACAAACCAAAGCATTGGGCAACTTCTTAAACAAGCAGTTTGTTCGACATCTCTTGGCAGTAATTTTAGGCCTTGCTTAATCAAACAAACCTAAACAGGCGAGGGATGCAGAAGAGAGGTCATAATAATACAATTTTATTACATATTGACGAGATGAAGGCAGTCATCCAGATAACCAGATAGTATTGCAATGTGTAATAGTGAGTTCTGCCTTATGGAAAATCAGATGGAATCAACACAACTGCTAAACTCACCTTGAATATCCACTGGAACCGAAGATAACCACCTCATTCTTGGGCTTTGAATGGTTTTAAGTTGCTTGTCTGAAGGCATTGTTTAAACTATTCCACACAGTGTCAAAAGTATATTATTACAAGATAAAAGACTCAGTTCTGCAAAAACAAAGTCGGGGTCGGCGGCTGAAGCTCTTGGAGTCCCTATCTTGGCCTGACTTGGGAGCACCCTGCCCATATTGTGGTTAGAAAGTGTTAAATCAACAGTAAAGCTGCTTTGTCTGAAACACAACACTGTTATCATAATGTTATTCTCTGCTCTCTGACCCGTGGGAGCTGTGCCTCAGTCTCTCGTCTCCTCTCACTGTTATGAAAACTGTGTGGCTATAAAGTGAAGAGAAAGTATTTTTAATTATGCAATACTAGAGCACGGTTGATTTCACCTCAGAAAATGCTCATACACACACTTCTAAGGGTCTGTATTTTAGGCCTGTTTTTGACCTAATAAATCCTTCTTAATGGTCGATTAAAGACATCCCTGGTTGAGCGACTTAAAAGACTCTTAACAATTAACTAAACAAGTAAAGGAACTGGAAAACCATGTTGCTATTAATGCATATGTTATTTAATAAATGCCAATTATGCAGCTAATTTTCTTCCATATATCTTCCCATTTTGCAGTCTCCACATAAATCCTTGTAATTGATATAGAAAATAAAATTGGTCAACTAATACATATTTCGATTTTATTGACAACCACAAACTAACAGCTCTACTGCATTTTACTCTATTTCTTATTCAGCCCATTGATACAATGTAGGCACGTGAAATAAAGCTGTATCCCACGTCAGCATTCTTGGATGAATCATAAAAATGCACACAAAAAATCATAAAATGTATGATTTATTTGTATTATAGTCTACTGTCTATCCAATGTTCCTTCCCAACAACAGTTTCACTCATTTACTGCACCAGTCAACGGAGGCTAAAACTACAGATTTTAATTCATTCCTTGCGCCTCCTGTTCGGCGACCCCGCTCCCATCTCTGTGTGGAGTGAGAGGACAAGTGCCCAAAAATAACAATTGTAAACCGCTTTGTGACTCTGGTCTGTGAAAGGCGGTATATAAATAAAGATTACTTACTTACTTACTTAATTTCCTCTTAAAAGTGTGTTCTAATTGAAGAACTGAAGCAGGAATGAATAAGCTACAGTAACCAGGACGACATTTCATGAGTAAAGTCTAGACCAGAGCTGAACTAAACCAACATTATCTTTACCTGGTGACAGCCTTTAATATAGTGGCCAGCTACAAGTCTCCTATGTGCATGCCGCGCTGTGTATTTTTACATAAACTCCGATGGCAACATGCTGGTTTTGTTATATTATTAGCAGCGAATGTCAGCCACTTGAACTGGAGTTCAAGATGGAGATTGTACATCTATTGGCTTGGGCTAGTCTTATATATGACCTGAATGTATGATAAAGTATGATAAGTTAAAACAGAATCTATCCGTGTTATAGCATGAAAACCTATTAGAGATCTTAGTGCAACAAAGAGAGAGAGAGCTACTGGCGCTAATCACTGATATGTGATCACTTCTAACCACTGGAATTATCATATTTGGAACAATATCCAAACAGACTGGAAATATGGCCGTATAAATTTGTCAACCGTTGTTCAGTTTAGTAGTTTTGCTGCAGTCCCACCTGCCAGACATTACAAACTTCTGCCAAATTGAAAACTGATGCGCTACGCTTGAGGCCTGGGAGTAATTTAGTCTACTAGTGCTCCCTGCTGCTGTTAAAACGTCCACAATTAACATTCCAGTTAACGTCCAACTAAATTTGACCGCCACAATTTTAAAATTAACCTGTTTCTTTGTATATGTCTTTGCTACAGCGGACCGGACTGCGGCTCGTCCACCGAAGCCCACAATCCGACGCACGTTGTCGCTGGACACAGTCGTGGGTCCGTATCTACAGGGACAGTGGCCTAAAGAAGCAGAGAGCGTGGCTGTTACCTGCATCAACGACAAAGCTACACAGGTCAGTATATAAGGAGAAAACCAAGAAAACCAAAGGAGTCCACTATGGAAATTTTAGCTTTATTTTTTCATAAACAACACGTGTGGTTTGGTCCAGCAGAAAGAGTAAACAACATGCTGTTTTCCTCTCATTAGAAAGAACTTTATCATTTGTATACATGTAAGAAACAGACATATATATACTGAGAACTCTTTCACTTTTTGTCTGAAAGAGTTGATTTAATGATGCGACAAATACCAAAAAATGTACAGTATGCATGTGAAAACCATAGATGAAAATGGTTGGGATTGAGAGCAAGGAACTCGTTTGATGGATTGGATTATATCTTTGCATCTTTTGGTGGTTTGAAAATAGTGTACCCCAGCTTCAAAACTGTCGACCAACCAAAGACAAGCTGCGATTCATACTATACACGTTAAAATACGTATCGCAGTTATAGAGAGGAGCCGTCTCTGCTGCATAGATGTGAACAACTACAAAGCACTGTGCTCCTGCCAGCCATGATCAGGTCTGAAATCTCCACAAATAAAAAAGTGGCAGAAGCAAAGTTGTCCATCATCACGTCTCATGTGGCCGTATGCTGATGACATCAACACAGCTCTCAAAGTTGATTGTTTGTTGGGAGTTGCTATGACTGTCTTGTGTCGTAGTTACAGAGTGTGACTGCTTGTTTCTATCCACATCCTGCTGTGTGACATCAGCCAAATATTTGGTAAATTGCAATCTCTATGTCCCCCTGTTGAAAGCATTTCTCAAAAACACACGTATTTATTGTTGGATTTTTAAATAGATTTCTCGGTATCTTAAAAGTAGGCTGCGCAGGTGCCTGGCGGTTCCACTTGGATGATCTAGAAACAAAATGATTGTTGTGTTTTGTTCTTGCCAAACAGCTGCACCCCCCACGACTGTATGTGCCCCAAAGTAGTGCAACAAAGCCACTCTCAGCCAGCACCAGCTCCGTCTGCTTCTGCCGCTGACACAGTTTGACACAGTTTGAACCCCTTGGCATCCTTTGTGCACAGACCCTTCTTGACCTTATTATACGGGGCGTCCCATCCCCCTAAGACCACGCACACACTCCCCTCCACCTCTGCATTATTTTGCAATTTACGACTTCATTCTTATCACAGAACACCACTGAACTTTCTCAAACTCACTTCAAGTCCAAAGAGATTTATAAAGATAGGTGTCAACTCATCGAATGACTAGTTTCTTCCTTCCTGAAAGACATAAACTCTCTGAAATCAGAGGTCATTGAATGTTCTGATTAGAATTATGTAAATCCACACAGCTTTGAATATAAATCTGCACTGAGAGCCCATCCAAACTTCATCTGAATTTATAGAAATATATAGAAATGTTTTGATTTCCCTAATAACAATACATGATATGGCTCCAATAATAATGATATAATACTATTTTTTTGTATTATTTGTAGAATAATAAAATCAATTAGAAGCATTTGGCTACAAGTTTGATACTAAGCTATTCCAAATGCACCCAAAATACATATTACTTTCTCTTGCTTATGGCAAGCATCTACGAACAGTTTTTTTCTGGGGCAAGTGGCAGCAGTTTGAACGGAGACATTCAGACTTCACCTCTTCACTTTCTCCAGCTCATCCATGGAAATCCCTACTCCCAAAAGTCTTTTGCAGGGTACCATGAGAGGTATGGGCCCTCCAGCGGTTTCCAGGGTCTTCTAAATAGATGTATTCATTTAGGAGTGAGCTAACCACATGCAGATGTCACTCATAGTGATCAGCTTAATACAGAAGAAACCGATTAAAACTAGCTTGGACAGGATATTTGAGCAGAAATCAGGGGAAAATGTATGTTAATCGTTATTGATAGCAATAGTTGAGTTACCATGGTGGCACAAACGGTCACTGAGCTTTAGGAATTTACTTTTCTTTTTCGCTATTGGATTTCATTGAGTAAGTAAGTAATGTTTATTTATATAGCGCATTTTACAAACCAAGGTCACCCAAAGCGCTTTACAATGTTCAGAGTTCACATATTGTTCCAATCATTCCACACACGGTGATGACTGAAGCGAATTACATTGAGCTAGTTTGTCCATCTGTTTACAGTCTATGGTCTAATTCTGACAAGACATAAACCTGCCTTTGAAACAGATGTCCGAGCCACCTCAGCGGGCTCCTCTCGACCCAGAGGAGAAGCGTCTCTACTCTGTGCTCCTCCCTTGTGACTGAGCTCCTCACCCACTTCACAGAGGAAACTCATTTCACTTCTACCCGCGATCTTGGCCTTCCGCTCATTACACAAAGCACATGACCCTTGCTGTTCTCAATCTCGGTGGGACTACCATAAATAAAGATAAATATAATTGACAGCCTGTTTATCTAATACAGCGTGACTACATGTTACTCGAGAAGTAGCAGCTTTCATTCATTCCGGCACAAGGCATTTTAAAAACCACATTCAAACCATATTCATGTTTTAAGTTTGAATCTACTGTTGTTTAGTCGTTTCCGCTGCTTAGTCATTAACATTGACAGCTTATTGGTTTACTTTCACTCCTCGTTGACAATATTATGTGCCTTTTTGCAGACTGGAACGTTAATAGGACATTGCCGCCTGTCGGAAACACTATCCAAACACTCCTCTACCTTTTGATGCTTTTAATAGCCTTGCGCCTCATGATCCCAGTTCGGTTTTGGGGAGGGCACATAGCAATCGGGGGGTTGCCAGTCGTAACTCTACACCCATGTCACTTCATAACTGACGTATTCTGCCAGGCGATAGACAGAGCCGCTCGTCGCATTTGGACTACAATGCCTCTAAACGAACGAATGGGAAAGCGAGTGGTCATATCCATGCATTTAGTCACATAGCAACCCGATTGGTGCAATACTTATGGCCTATGACAGTGATGCTATGTGCGGAGAGGATTTGACTTTGTATCTTTGAATTGAACGTCCTGAACTGCAGAAGGATCACTGTCAATTATGAATCCTCAACATTTTGTCTCGAAGCCTTCGGAAGTGGCAACTCTAGCGCCACATGTTAGAAGATCCAGGGTCAATGTCAAGAAATCGGTATGCCTCCAATGATGCACACGTTTTGGGCTGTTTTTCACATGTGATGCTGTTGATATTGCTGTAGTTTCAGGACTGTGCCTGAGTCTTGAAGCATTTAGATTATGCAGCCGTCTTTGTAATTGATTAAACAAAAAAATACTGCAAATATTTAGATGAAAAATTAACTCGTTATCTTGTCATCTAATTTTCTCAAAGTGATTGCATCTGTTTGTATCGCTTTAAGTTGACTTTATCATGCACAAAGTTTGATTTCAAGTGAATTGCGCTGTTGGAATGACAAAAAATGAAGGTGAATCTCATAAGTATAATCTCAGCTTGTGTGAAACCAATGTATGATGTAGACTTATGACATGCAAAGTGACTTATGTCAAGCCTTTGTTGTTTTAATGATTTTCCTTTTTTAAAATATTAAAACTTTCTGCCATGTTTTGGATTTTTTCTAAAAGCTGTAAACCAATTATCAACACTATAACAAATAAAGCTTATATATATATCACTTTGCATGGAATGAGTCATATGATAGTTTCACATTGTAATTATAGAAGTAGATGGGCCTTTGAACAATATTGTAATTTTCTGAGTTTCATCTGAATGTATGAATGTAGTCTATTTCCTCTTTGCTTGAGTACATTTTGACTCAACAAAACATACAAAAAATGTGATCATATTATTGAATGTGCTATGATAATTAATTCTCAATTCTCTAGCAAAATATGTTTTGTTATTTTAAGCAAACTTGCTCCTTCGGCAAATCTTACACTCAAGTCAAGATGAATGCAACTTGGTAAAATTTCTCATTTCGAAATGTCCCCACTGTGGGAGGAAGGATCTTTTATCTTATCTACTAATTAACATATTTTGTGTAATTATTTGCTGTTTTGATGATAGAATTATAAAGTAACGTAAACTACAAAAAAATCACAATAATCTAAACACTAAAATGTCTGATTGTTCTTGGTGCCAAACAAATTTGACAGGAGTATGTTTATGTAAAGATAGAATACTAATTTAGTCCATGGTATATCCTTTACAACATGTTTTCTGTGTAATAGGCTTGACAAAAGTAAAGATTGAGTGTCAGTACTAAAAACATTCCAGATACAAGACACATTTGGATCTTTCCTGAGTTTTTGGATTTTCATCAATGTCAGAAATAGTAAAAAGTACCTTACCATACCAAACTGTATTTTCTACACTTACATATCTTATAATAGCATAAAATATAACAATAAAAAACCTTTAGGCGTTTGAAGATTTCTCATAACTCAGAATCAGAATGTTTTATTTCCATTGTCCGTGTACAAGAAATTCACAAAATTAACTCTTCACTTAATCTGTTTAAAAAGGGTCTACCCACACAGTATAAAAAGGCAAACAGTAACAGTAACAAAATCAAAATGTGAGCAGGAATCCAGACTGCTGAAAGTGCGGATAGTGCCCTGGAGTTCTGGACCGGCAACTACTGCGATAATATAACATCACTGTGATATTACAGTTTTTCTGTCGCTTTGGTGCATTTCTCACATCAGACTTAAAGTTCTCAAAACTATTAGTTCAACCTCCACAACATTGATGCAGATCATCGCGGCAGTTTCTCCTCTGAACACTTTACAAATGCTTTTGTTCATGTATCAGTTACTTTCATACAATTCTCTGCTGTTTTTTAACATAGTCATTTGCTTCTGTCCTGTCAGTCAGAATGAAACATACTTATCACTTCTGAATAGTCTTTCACTATAAAACTAACTGTCCTCATTTCATCTCTTTGGTCATCACATATAAAATTGTTGAACTAGTTCTAAATCATATTTGTCAAGCTAATTTCATACATTCCTTTATCTTTTTTTCCCTGTAAATCTTTCCTAAATTGAACAATGTCTCTCAGGTGAATTTCAGTTTTCACTCATGAGGAAGTGTGTGTTTTATTGTTTACATTTGTCACAGTTCTATCATAATTTTATTTCTTGTATTTTTGTTCTATGTATATACAGTACATGTATGTGACTGTATTTTTGTTGCAAAATGCTGTAGAATTGCAAAGAGCATATGCAGCAAATATGTGAAAGACATACATACATACATACAGTACATACAGTACACAGACATACATACATACATAGATACATACATACATACAGTACACAGACATACATACATACATACATACATACATACATACAGTACACAGACATGCATACATACATACGTACATGTACATACATACAGTGCATACATACATATATATATATGTTCATACTCAATGCTGTCAGGACATATTATTTTGACGACATATACAGTTTCATTGACATGAAGACTTGCTTTTGAGGAAATAACTTTTCATTTTGAGAAAGTGACGCACTTTTGCAGTTTATCCACAAGGTTTTGCAGTTTGCACTAATTGTTCTGAGAAATGCACCAACAGTTGTGCAAATGTGAAGAATGATGTGAGAAATGCACCAAAGCGACCGAGAAAACTGTAATTTAAGTTTTAATAACAGGCTATTAACCACAGCTAATCACTTATTAAAATAACTGTCATTGAGTAATCTGCAGCGTCAAACAAAAATGTGTCTAAAATGGTTTATTTTAAAGCAAATATCTTCTTATTGATTATCAAAACAGTTGATTCCAGCCCCAGTTCATTTATTCATTCTTGAGAAATGCTGGCATCGTGAGCACACCGCTGTGCCATGCGGTCCTCCCTGTTTCCAGATGTTGTGGTCTGGATGTTTCCACCATGAGTTCTGGAAGTGACTGTTAGCGCTGCGCAGCTGTCGTGAGGCAGGTGTGCACTCACAGCTGTGGCTTTTATATATATCGCTGTCAGAGGAACAGTGCAACGTGTTTAAGAGGTTTCAACTTATGGCAATTATAGTCATCCCCCTCATTGCACCGGGGGTTTTTCTCTAGAACACCTACAAATATCGGTAAATATTCCAACTTTAAGAAGGGAGCATGGATAGATAGTAAAATATATAGTTATATAGATAAAATATTAGATAGATAGATAGATACTTTGCTGCGGGCCTTGTAGTAAAGAAGTCAAACTTTAAGGTTTGTGAGCATAGATAGATGGTAAGATAGATAGATAGATAGAACAACAGATGGTTAGATAGATAAAACAACACATAGATAGATAGATAGAACGACAGATAGATAAAACGACAGATAGATAGATAGATAGATAGAACGACAGATAGATAGATAGATAGATAGAACGACAGATAGATAGATAGATAGATAGAACGACAGATAGATAGATAGATAAAACGACAGATAGATAGATAGATATATAGATAGATAGAACGACAGATAGATAGACGGATAGAACGACAGATAGTGTAGGAGCCAAAATGTAGTTTAGATACTTTGTACAGCCCCCATTGACGCTTTTGTCGCCATCTAGTGGACGCACTGGGGAAGGGCTACATAAGGTGTGCAGTATCACCTGGAGGTGTGGCTGCAGCGGGAAGAGACAGTCTTTGACCTCACTCACTCTCTCTCACACCTGCTTTTCATTTTAATTTTGGTACAATTTGAAGTACATTTTTTGTTTGTAAAATAAATATAATTTTTATTTTTCAAGAATCTTTTTTGTGGACATTTCTTATTTTTTATTTGGAGTGTCAGACCCTTTTTTTTGCTCAGTCATCACAAAGAAAGGATTTTTTCTGACTCTACAGATAGATAGATGGATAGATATTGTCTGTCTGTCGTTCTATCTATCTGTCTGTCGTTCTATCTACGTATCTGTCGTTCTATCTATACATATTTTGAAATAAATATTATCTATCTATCTATTTCAAAATATGTATAGATAGAATGACAGATAGATAGATACTTTGCTGGGGACTGGTAGTAAAAAAATCTAACTTTAAGAAGGTTTGGGAGCATAGATAGATGGTAAGATAGACAGATGGATAGATAGCTAGAACAACAGATAGATAGATAGATATAACGATAGATAGCTAGATAAAAATATAGATAGAAGGAGATTCTTTTCTGGGGCCCTATAGTAAAAATGTGTGCTTTAAAAGGTTTTGGAGCACAAACATGTGACAAAATGGAGAGATAGACACTTTATTGATTCTGGACTCTTTCTAAAGTTGAGGCCCTGTAGTTTTGGCCTCTAATGACTAATTTACTCCTATTATTTGTGGGAATAACATCTGTACAATGACTGACCAAAATCTGCCTACATTTTCTGGTGTCTGGGGTTCGACACTATTGAACTGTAGAATGATGGTTGTGTTAATGATTTCCCTTTATCAATCACAATGTTTATTTCAAAACCTGTACAACACCATTTTACAGAACAAAAAAGCAGACCGCGTTTGGATTTGACTGAAAATGAGATTGAGTGGCTTGAAAAATGTGCACACAAGAGCGTTGAGGTTGTAAATGAATTCCGGTCAAACCTTTTTGCCGTATGCTTTCATGTATAAAAAGTGATTACCTATCTCGCTCAGCCAATCAGCTCTCAGCTCAAAGTGTCAAATGGTGACTCACGGGGTGCTATCTTACAAGTACTCAAAAGATAACATGTTTCGGCGTCTACTTTGTTCACAACTTTTACAACTGTTTTTCTGTTGGAACATGTACTACAAATATGTATGATTTCAGAACAAAGTAAGGCACCCCTGCTTTAACATGTTTGGAGTGGATTTTTGCTTGTTTTTTAATGTTTCTATTTTTTTTACCCTTTTCTCAGACTCCAAGTTCCTGGTCAGAAGAAACCAGAGGGAGGAGAAGTGCGAGTGGACACAAGCGATCTGCGTCTTTGGGAAGTGCAGAGCATTTGAGAGAGGCAAGTGCGACACATTCGCCAAAACATCGGAATATTTGATGACAATAGGTTAAATTGATATTCCTGATATTTTCTGAATTAAAAACCTATAGATAGATAGATACTTGATTGATCCCCGTAGGAGAAATTCAAGTGTCCAGTAGCAGCAGAAACACATGCATCTATACAAATCCATATATAATTCTAAAAGTAGCTAACAATAGTATTAAAATGCTGGTTTTATATTAGTTACTGCTAAAGGCTCTGTCCATAATCCAGTTTGGCTCATAATAACTTTCAACAACAGTAGTAGCGCCACATTTTGCTTTGATAGTCAGACACAAATTTCACGTTTTGTAATTTCTGCTGACAAGAGACGACAGAGGAGATATTAAAGCTGAGGTGCATAACTTTCAAACTGCACAACATTTAACTATGTGATCAAATCCATCAAACTCTAAGCCTTCAACACAGTTCAGGTCAGTTCAGGTCATATCATGCATGTATTTTTGGCCTCCGTCACGCATTTTCAGACAGAAAAGTGAGAACAAGAGGACCACTCTCAGTCAGCCAATAGCGACTCACAGGGCACTTTCTTAAGAGATAGTTTGTTTTAGAGATACAGGCGGCATGTTGAAGTCTAGTTTGTTCACAAAAGTCTAGTTTCACAAGACCGAAAGAAAAAAATCAGGCACCACAGCTTTAACTTTAGATTTGGCTCAAAATGTATGTGTACTTGTATATAGTAATATTTTGTAAGATATGTTATGTAGATTTGTTTTTTATTTTAAGTATGCCTTATTCTATTTTTACATTTGTAACCAAGAGCCAAAGCAATTTCCTAGTTTGTGACTTCCTGTTCTTAAATTTGTCTGTCTATTTACTAGCAATATATTTTGTCTGATTATGCTGCCAAGACACATACAGTATGCCTATTTTTTACTTTATTTAAATGAACTACAGTCTATTATACCATTGCTTGTTAAAAATGTATTTCTTCTTATAATTTTGATTTTAGGTTGCCAAACTGAGGCACCAGTTGCAGAAGCGTTCCCGTCACGCCCCTCCATCGCTGGGATACGAGCTCTCTCATCCCCCGGTGCCACCAGGACATGTCCCGGGCGTCACACAGGTCTGACTCTGGACACATTATATTATAACATATTAGTACATATTTACTATAAGAGAGATAGTAAAGATGGCTAAGTTCTTTGTACTGTCCCTGTCAAAAATATAAATCAATAAATATCAACAGTACATTTGTTTTTGTTGATTTTCCAGACCGTGCCGATGATTCCCCTGAACAGAATAGCGACCCGTTTGCGTCGCAGCGTTGAAGGACTAAACCTGGAGCTGGAGGAGGTTTTTGTGTCTGAGAAACCGGACGACGATGAAGAACATGAGGTTCGTTGAAGTTTGAGAAATGGCCAATAATAGTAACAATGATTATCAGACAATATTTTTTTAATTTAGAAAGATAAAATTATCAATTCAATTCAATTTTATTACAGAGGTCCTAGGTCCATTTTTAAAAAGACGAAAATTAACAAACAAAAAGTTATGACCTTTCTGTAGACACCACATCCTTGTTGTGAAAGTGCCTTGTGTTCATTTAAACAAAGTTCGAGGTGACTTTATTTGACCCATGGGTAGATTCTTTTTCCAGTTAAAAAGAGAGAGACTTGGCATCTACACAAGAATATTCATAAAAATCACATTTACACAAACCCAACCGATATGTAAACAATGGCAATAAATACGTTATATTTTTGTATATTATTGTACGCATCAGGAAGTCACAAAGGAGGAATTGGCTTTGGCTCATGCAAACAAGGTAAGAAAGTAAAAATACATAGAAATTCATGCATAGAAAATCTTCATACATTATCTTGGTGCACACTAGCTACACACAAAAGACATTTAACAGTGCAGGTTGAAGTGACAGTAGTGTAAGGTGACAAGTCGTACAAAGTGACAAGAAGCTGTTTTTCTGCTCGTTCCACTGTATCAATAGTATCCATGTTGTGAGGGTAACTGTTTTGCATACTTGGAGAAAAAGGGGAATCCACCAACTGCAGTTATTAGATTCCTGGAAGGCTCCACGTGGCTCTAAACGTTCAGTACATGTGTAAGATGTATTTGATTACAGCTGTTGATTAGTCATGCTTCTCCCGTATCTGCCCATGAGTCTACAACAGGTGTCATGAGATAGGCCGGAGCTTAAAAGCTGACTACAAAAATTAAACTACATATAATTATTATTACATTATTTTTGTACATATATAGCACTATTTTCTCTATACACAGCAGTGGTGAACTAATCATCTATGCCAGTGTTTTTCAACCTTTTTTGAGCCAAGGCACACTTTTTCACTGAAAAAAATCTTGCGGCACACCTCCAGGAGAAAATGTAAAAATGTATACAGTACTAATGTAAAAATATATACTGTACATACTCTGTGTGATATATAAAGTATATCTTATCTTATCTTATAATGTATACAGTATACTCTGTAGCCTATATTCACAATATACAGTTATTCTCATCAAAATGCTTAAGTCCAGGCCTTGACATTAAGCTTTATTTAATATTTCTCGATACAATTAACAAGAGTTTGGGAATAAAGTGGCACTAACTGTGTGGAAAAAAAAAATAAAAGAAAAATAAAAGAAAATCCACTCTCTGCCCATAGTCAAATAATAACTCACACAAAGAACATGCATTGTTAGTGCATGGGAAAAATTTAGGTATCCGAGCTTTAAATTCAGGAGTTTTGGATGAGGGACACGGGAGGTCCTGAACGCGAGTCCATGGTTCTGTCCGGTCCGCATGTCTGTGGTTCTGTCCACTCGACTATGGTCTGCGCTCGGTACCCAGTTCAGAAGTGCGTTCACGAGAGCTGTTGTACAAAAATGGTACATTTCATAGTTAAACCACTACAACGCGGCCACAGCTGCCCCGGGGCAGAGCGGAGGATGTTAATCCTGTTCAGAAACGGCATAATTCATTTTCAAAAACGTCTCTATCACTTTCACTTCTCACTCGCCACAAAGCTCTTGTCTCGCTCCCTCCCACATTTGTTGGTCGCATCCAATTTTACCTTTCTCGCCACAATGCTGACCTGAAACTGAAAAATTGGATGCGACCACTGGCTGTCAGTGGTCGCATCCAATTTTTCAGTTTCAAAGTACTTAGCTCTCTGCTGCCATCTACTGATTTGAAAAAGTATTACATGGTTACTCCACAGTTCAAAACAAGTCACCGCTCGTCAACAGCGAATGCAGTTATTTTTAGACAAAGTAGACGAATTTCTCACGGCACACCAGACAATATCATACGGCACACTAGTGTGCCGCGGCACAGTGGTTGAAAAACACTGATCTATGCCATCGACCCCTCTGACTAGCCCCAAGAATTCACTCTTGCAGGCAGGCACACACACACACACACACACAAATGCTCACGTACACAAACACACACACACAGATACACACAAGCCTCTGCTAAGCAAAGTGGATGAGGTTTCTTGTCTATGTACACAATAGTTGCTCCCATCACAGCACTAACCAGGCCCTGCCCTGTTTAGCTTATGAGATCCAAGATATACAATCCTGTTTTTCATTCATTTTATTCATTTTGTGGGTTATACTGTACACATTATGAAAGCATCAACATAACATATGTATTTGGTATCTGAAACATCTTATCTTCTGCAGTTATATCAATGGAAATATTTCTCTCACACTTGTGTTCAAATGCAGATATCTCAGATTCTGGACATCCCGGACGGCCACCGCGCCCCTGCCCCGGTGCAGAGGTGCAGCAGTGGCTCTCAGAGTGAGACGTCTGAGGGGCCTCTGGATCCTCTGTCCCCGCCACAGTCCCCCTGTGCGTTACACCCATCGCCCCGCCTCATGAACCCCTGCTCCCCGCCACAGTCCCCCTGCCGCATGGGAGAGCCAGGTCAGTGCATAACAAAGACTTTCAGATCATCTTTCCCAAAAAGAATGAGCACAACACACAACAAAGTAAAATCTCTCATCTGGTTTTCCCGAAACTACACATGTACAGTTAAAGCATGTATTTGTAGAAACACGTTGGGCTATCTGTACTCTGCATCTAATTAGACTGTGATATTCTCTGAAACAGGAAGTGCTTGCTCCTGTTGGCGCAACTCTGGACTGCTGCAAATAGTTTCTCACCAAAACAGGCCCATAAAGTTACTCAAACATGTTGAAAATGACTAAAAAAATTTAAATATATATTACATTGTAAAGATCAACCTTTTTGAGCCGTGGCACACCTTTAACATTTAAAACAATCACATGGCACACCACCAGCAGAAACTCATACCAACTGATGTAACTCTGCTGCCTTTAATAACAAAACAAAGAAATTCCCATCAAAGTATATTATATGGATAATCAGAAAAGTGCAAAGAAGTTTGAATCTTCTATTTTTTTTTCACATTATTTTGACCAAGTAGGTGATATTGGATGTATTCCCAGGGCACACCAAATAACATCTGGTTGAAAAACACTGGTATAGATTGAAGAGGACCACTTTAGACAAGACACTTTTTACATCCCAGATTGTAATACTATTTTGACTGGAGTTGGACTGATTGGAGCTTTAAAATTACGTACTACAAGTTCATATGATTCGCAGGAAAGCTGAGCATGAGTGATGACCTTGTGCTTATAATGTATATATGACAACTATTTTATTTAACATTACAGTTACAAAGATTGAGAAATTTGAGACACTTGTGAAAGCCTCCAACAATTTGGAGCTTTGAGTGGCTTCTCTGCGGGGCACACTTAGTACTCACAATATGCTAGTTCAAAGCAAGCAAAGCAGAAATACAACTTCCCTGTTTTGCTAAAACATAATGCTGATGAGTCAATTATAGTCAATGTATTTCACTCTTAAGTTGTGAGCTATGAGAAGTACTTTTTCTGCTCTTCTGTATCATGTAATTATAAGTTCCTTGTTTTTCCTGTTAGCGTCTGTGGACTGCAGTGCCGTGTGTTCGTCTTCGTCTGCTCTCCCCTCGTTTGCGCTCAGTCCTCCTCTCCTGCAGCAGTGCTCCTCCGCTCCTCGTCCAAACAAAACCTACTCCCATCAGAGAGAGCCTCCGGAGGGCTGCGAGCCTGAGGGACTGTGCATGGACCCAATGTATGAACACACGTTTTTATCTTGAATTGATTACATTTGTTTTGCAGTTGAATATGGGTGAAGGACAGAGTTATGAATCTTACCTAATGTTGTAACAATGATCCTGGACTGTTATTTACTCCATCGCCACAGCTATCAAACATATATTTCCTTTTTCGGGAATCCATATTGTATCTTTGCTTTCAGAACAGAAAGGTTGGTAACTACACAGTTGTAACTGCAGTTGAGAATACTTTGAAATTTAAGTTTTAGTTACAGAATACCGTTGTAAAAATGTTATACGTTACGTATTCTGTTTCCTGGTCCAATCCGAGCACTGAATACTCAATACCTGAAATATTTGTATTTACATTTGCATAATGTAGCTTGTGCCGTGTTCGTTGGGGTTGCGTGTTGGGGTGGCAGTCTGACCTCGAGAGACAGTAACTGGCTCGACAGGCTGATCAGGAAATGTGTCTCTGTGATGGCGAGAAGTGTGGACTCTGTGGGAGCTGTGTTGGAGAGAAGGATGAGGGCTCTAATGCAGGGCATCCTGGGTAACTCCATGACACTATGGCCGCTCAGAGGGGAAATCGTAGCAAAAGGCTCCTATCACTGTGCTGCAGAACGGGATGTTTCAAGAGATCCTTTGTCCCTTCGGCTGTCAGACTGTACAACAGACCTGTCTGAGTCTTCTGCTGCTGGACACCTGAAATCCATCTATAATATAGAGTGTAATCATATTGCAATAGATTAAAACAACTTGGTTTTTGTTTAGTAGAAAAGGATGAAACACACCTTCTCTTACATACAATGCCTGAATGGTTAGTAGAACTCGAGCTTCTGGGTTTGAATCCCTGTCGGAACAGGGCCTTTCTGAGTGAGGTTTTTATGTTTTTCCTGTATCTGCGTAGGATTACTTCAGTTGCTTTAGTTCCTCCATGCCATTAAACACATGTGCAATAGACCCCACGTTTTGGGCCAGGATTGCCCTGAAAAAAGAGATTCTGAAATCTTTGTTGGAATTTCCTGGTTAAATAAAGTTAAATTCAATACTTAATTAAAAGTGATGTCTTCATGTAAGATCCAATAAATGCCACTAAAGAATACAGTCACTTAAAATAGTATTCTGGTGTATGTGTTTCTTGTTATGCAACATTCTGTTATAAGACATTCATCCATTAAAACATATTTCTGTTTTTCCAGCAGGGCTTGTCAGAACAAACCACTCCTCGCCCCTTCGTGTCCAGACCTCAACAAAGTGAACTTCACCCCCCACGGAGGCTCCGCGTTCTGCCCCGTCAGCCTCCTCAAGCCCCTGCTGCCCTCCATGGACCTCCTCTTCAGGGGGCTGTCTGTGTCTCCTGTCACTGGACGTCCCGGACCGGCCTCCCCCACACGGCACCTGGGCATGCAGTGATGGCCAAGCCTCACTTCTGAACTGAGCAAGTGCCACAAGGACCACTAGGGGCAGGACAACCGAGAATTCACATCAGACGACAGAGAGTTCACATGAGACACAAGATTAGTGAGAAATTAAGGATACTCTGATACTGACATTGCATATCGGGGCCAATCCAGGAACACATATTGGATTGGGTATTGTTTAAGCTGATCTCCTAATTGGGACTTGCCATGTCTGTAATAACAATATATTAACTGTATATTACCACAGATCATTGTAGAGTTGTTCTGACGTTTGTTTACAGTTAAGGTGACTATAGTGTCCCTGGGAAATGTCTCCTCTGCATTTGACCCCACCTGTGATGCCACAAGAGTAACATGTGAGGAGCTGTGGAGGGGACCCATCTCCAGATATTATTGATCTTCTTGGTCAGGACTGGTGGGGGGAAACCTGATCGCCTCAAGGAAACCAAAGAGAGAGAAACCAGAGAGAAACATGCAAACTCCAAACAGAAATGCTTGAGGCGCATGGGATTTGAACCTTCTTTCTGTGAGGCATGAGCGCTACCTATTGGGTTATTCAATTGTTAAAACACACAATTGGAACCATTTTGTAATAAGTTATCCGTGTTTTTTAGCAGAAAAGCAAAAATAACAGAGGTTTTCTGTTTTCTGACCCTTCACTAATCGGTTTGAATCTGTTATCGGCATGTATTGAAAGCCAAAGTATCGAGATCGATATTGGACATGAAAACGCTGCATCCTGAGGAGAAATTGTTCTACTGTCTGTGTTTAGTCAGACACATTTAGTTTGAGTAATTTCAGAAGGAACACGCCATGAAGCACTGTTTAAACTATTTTGACCACACAGTACATGATCCATTATATTCATTTCTTGTTTTTTTTTTTTTTTTTGCTTTTCTCTAGCGAGTGTTACATTTTTTTTTTTTTGTCCAGACAAACGTAAACACATTTCTTCAGGCGAGACCTTGAGGCATGAGGCTCTTGTCCCTGAGGATTCCCACATATTTAAATTAATGAAAGTCTTGGTGCAAAAACAAACTGTGGCTGCTTCACTGGTTTTGTCACCAGCACTTCTCTTTTAGCACAGGGTATTCTTACATTTTTGAAAGACTTTTTAACCCAGAGCTTTTCAAAACCTAAAAGACATCATCCCAACTTGAAATCATAACCAAATTGTTTATTGTGCATAATGATGAAAAGCCAAAAATTTTAAAATTGCATTTAATTTCATATTATACTTTTGGTAATATGTATCAAATTGATCAAAAAAAAGGGAAACGGGGAAAGGTCCAATTAAAAAGTAGAACAAAGTAATGTAGATGAATTACAATGGGAGAGGAGACTTAAGTTAGAAAAAAATCTGAAAAATATAAAAGTAAAAATGAATTCTGTTCAATGAAATACATGTAAGAAATAAAAATCAACAATATTTCAGTTTGCAGACCATAACAAAATATATCACTTAATTCTATCATAAGTTTGAGTTGATTCAGACAAAATGCACTTTAAAAGCCCACTTGCAATTCGTTAATATCAATCATAAACAAAGATTTGTTTTGTTATTGGTTTTGTTTCAGGAATCTCAGTTTTGTGGTTGCATGTGACTTTTTGAATTATTATGGGTCTGTCTGTTTTAAATGAAAGGCTAATAGTTTCACATTTGTAGAAACGATGGATGATTTTTGTTCAATGCCAACATAAACAATTTCTTACATTTGTATTATTTTTGTTTGTTTTATCAAAGTCCAGATGTTTTCCCAAAATTATTAATGTCCTTAAAATTACTCAGATATTTCAAACCGTTCGTGACTCCTTTTCTCCGAAATTCCTGAACAAAATCTGCTTTAAACAAACACATGCCTGGACTCCTTGTGAAGCTGAGGCCCTGTAGTTTTGACTTGTAGTAGACATGTACTCTAATTATAACAATCACTGCACAGAGAAAGATGGAACTCCAATGTCACCTACATTTTCGCTGGTGCCTGGGGTTGACTCTAAAATAATGTAAAACAATTCTGCTTTCAGTGAGGAAAACTTCACTGGAAATAACATTTAGGGATTTGTGAAAAAGCAAAAAGGTTCAGGTGGAACCATAGACTGTAAATATTAACACATGTTATATTAATAGTAATACATGGTGGATCACATATTTAATCCCTATGCAAATCCCCGTCCAAACTTTATGGACAATATTTCAGATGTGTTTGTGAGATCATGGATGTTTAAACTGTCCCTGAATCATCCCAGAATGTTTTGATGTTCAATACATTAATTTAACTTTGTGTTGCATATTTAGGCTTGATACTTATGCCAATATCCTTGAAATTCAAAGTTTATAACAATTTATGAATGGACTTGCCTCTGCGCTGATAAAACCTGCAACATAGATCAGTGTTGTCTAGTTTCTTGTCTCTACTAGGCAAGATAATTGTAATGCCAAACTGCAGAACATCCCAGGACAACAAATATTTAAAACACCCTGCAGCAGAGAAGTTGCACAGCCCATCTTTGCAAATGTTCCTTCCGTGACCATCCCTGTGGTCTGCTTCCCTCTGTTGTTTTGCTGTGAAATGACACGTGGATGTCCAGCTTTGAAACGTCAAATCCACCCTTATCATCTCAATCTTGGACGTGACTGGCTGCAAGCTTCTATTAAAGCCTCACGGGGACCAATAAAAACCATCCACATCTATATACGTCATTCAAAGAGGCGACAACCCCAAAGAAGGACCTATATTTTTCAAACAAGGCGCCTTAACTATTGCCAGATCAATAACATGTTTAGTTTAACCATTCATAGCGACAGGCCTGTGAGAATAATCTAATAACACCCATTAAATAGTTATAATTGATGTACTTGCGTGTAATAAGACGTCAAAATGTGTAAAAGCTACAGTTTTTCCATTAAATTATGCTGGCGTTTATGCGTAAAACTGTTCGGGGCCTAAACACACTGCCTTGTTATGACGACAGCTGTATTTATTTTAATTATAAGAGAAAAGCGGTGAAGGAAAACACTGCATAGAACGAAATAACGAGACGAAATGTGCATTGGACCAGCACATTACGAAGCGAGTAGATAAAACAGGTGTAGGCGCGTAAAAGCCATGAGAGCGCACTGGTGCATTCAGTCTCGGTTCAATCATACGCGCAAATAGCGATAGTTTTCTCAGGGTTATTCTAAAGGAAAACCCCCAATAGACCATAAAACAAACACACAAAAAGACTGCATTGAAATACGAGCGCCTCTTCCGGGCTCGTCACCGCAGCGTGGAATAGTGGATCGGGACGTAGCCGCTCGGATCGCCGGGAGCAGCGGGTCAGTGTCTGTAGCGGTGGAAGACGCAATGGCATCGGGCAAAGGAGCCGGGAGACAAGCCTCCATGTGGGATAATATGCGGATACGATTTATCATCTGTTTTCTTGGAGTTTTTGTCTGTTATTTTTACTACGGGATCCTCCAGGAGACGATGTAAGTGTGCGTAATTTCGTGCCAAAAAATCTGCCCCGGTTCTTTGGCCATGGATCACTGCTATTCATAGTGATTTTAATGGGTGTAATAGGCTTTCTTGTCTCGTTCAAATCAGTATTCACGCCAAGGCTTTAGCTGTTTGTTGGAAAGGTCAGTGCTGTTTTTAAGCAGGATATTGCATTTCAGGGATCGGGGTGACCCATATGGTATGCTGCAGGAGGAAATGTGAATCTGAGTTTCACATTATATAAGGTTTAGACATAACAATACACAACTACACCAGTTTGATATACAGTAGAGCAGCCTGTCTGGACTTTAGACTTGGCCAGTCGTGATATCAATATAACATATGTGAGTTCATATGTATTAAGATAAGATAAGATAAGATGTGGTTTATTTATTTCACATAGGAGAAATGTACATGTATGTCACATTTGGCATGGATAGAGACACTCAGATTGTGCAAAAGGAGGAAATGTGCAAACATGTTACATGCAGGATATATATGTACAATAAAAGTGACAATAATTATGTACAACAAAAGTGACAAGTGTCAATTGGAAACAGTGTCAATAGTAGTGCAGGTTTTCACACAGTGATCATTTAAAGTGACTTATTGTACAGTCTGACAGCAGTGGGGATAAAGGCCCTGCGGTAGCGCTCCTTCTTACACTGAGGGTGCCTCAGTCTTCCACTGAAGGAGCTCCTCAGCTCCTCTACAGTCCTGTGCAGTGGGTGGGAGGTATTGTTCATGATGGAGGTGGCTTTGGCTAGCACCCTCCTGTCCCTCACCTCCTCCACAGAGTCCAGGGAGCAGCCCAGAGTGGAGCTGGCCCTCCTGACCAGCTTGTTCAGTCTGTTTCTGTCCCGCTCTGTGCTGCCCGGGGCCCAGCACACGGCAGCGTAGTAGATGGCAGAGGCTACCACAGAGTCATAAAAAGTCCTGAGCAGAGGCCTGCTCACTCCGAAGGACCTCAGCCTCCTCAGAAGGAAGAGGCGACTTTGGCCCTTCTTGTGCAGGGCGTTTGTATTATGGGACCAGTCCAGTTTATTGTTAATGTGAACACCCAGGTACTTGAAGCTGTCCACCAGCTCAATGTCCTCCCCCTGGATGTTCAGCAGCATGTGGGAAAGTGGTTTTCTCCTGAAGTCGATGATCATCTCCTTGGTCTTACTGGTGTTCAAGCACAAGTGGTTGCGCTCGCAGCAGTCGACAAAGTCCTTGATAACCGACCGATTGTGTCTATACTATTTTAACATGGTGAAAAGTTACCCCTAATACCACTGACTAGTCTCTACATTAGTCTATGATGACATTACAATCATCTGTATTTCATAATTTTTTTTAAAGTGCATTATTTCACAAATGGTATGTTACTTCATAGTCTCCACAAGAAAGTAAGTAGGTAATCTGTCACAAAGTGCTTTACAATTTACACAACACAAACATGTATTTATTTCTGTTGGTCTGGAGGGTTTGGTCGGTCACTGTCCTGGCCTGGATGAGGATGGAGAAAGGCTTTTAATATCAAAATTATAAATACCTGTTAAGCATATAGAGTCCAAAACAAAGTAGTGTTTCTTACAGTTTACAATTATACAGAATTTACATAGACTAAAAGAAAATTAAAGATGTCTATTCGAGATTAGGCAGTTGAATTGATAAAATGGGATAAACAAAATACATTCACAGTTTTACATTTATACACTCTTCTGAAACACAACTGTTCACACCATGTTCTTCTTCTTCCAGCACAAGAGGAGACTATGGCCATGGAGAAAAGTTCAGATTTGCCCAAACTTTGGTGTTCATCCAATGCGTCATCAACTCCCTATTTGCTAGAATATGTAAGTGCCTCATTTGTAACATCTGCAGTTGGTAAAATACATTTTCAACACATGAAATCCACATTGTTGCTTGTGTTATATGTATCATTAAACAATTGGATTTAGATTTTTGTCCATTCACACCATCATAACTCTCAAACTTGTTGCTTCTCTTATTTTCACAGTAATCCAGTTATTTGAAGGAACCAAACCGGATCCCACTAAAAACTGGCTGTATGCTGTGTGTTCTTTGTCCTATGTCGGGGCCATGGTGTCGAGTAACTCAGCCCTGCAGTTTGTCAACTACCCCACACAGGTGAATCTTCTTATGTGGTTCTATGTGCAATTACTACATGAAATATGAAAAATTAAAACGTTCTCATTATTTTAGGTGCTGGGGAAATCTTGTAAACCCATACCAGGTATTATTGAACACACTTTTCTTTTACATTTTGCTGCTTCTTTCTCTCAGTCAGTGAATCATGGCAGACAGGCGTGGAACATTGGAAGGAAGACGTGTATTTAGCAACAAGTTCATAGTGCTCAGAAGTAGGTCTGTCACAATAATTACAATAATAACCTGTCTTTCTAAACATAATTGGTGTAACAATAACTTGCCAGGGCGTTATCATAATTAAATCAACACTATATTTAACAAAATTGTATGTAGATGAACTTAGAGCAGATACTGAAAAGTAAAGTGGGTCCTTCTGCTATTTATTCACCTCATGTTTCTTAAACTATATTGTAAATCTGTAATCAATTTTGGGATAGATTCAATTCAATTTATAGCCCTAAATCACAACAGTAGTTATCTCAGAGGACTTAACAAATCCTTTGAAGTCACCAACACAGATCATAGAATCAAATGCGTTTTTTCACATTTTCCAGCCCCACGGCCATTTTGAAAAAGCCCCATAGAAGGCAAAAGTGGTGGTACATTGGTTTCAACGGCGGAAATAGGCGTGACTACGTCCGATAATATTTACAGTCTATGGTTCAAATACAATAAATATTAGAGCTGGATAAGACTTTGGGTTGAATGAGTCAATTGTATAATATTAATATTATTTTAAAGAGGACATAACATGGTTCTAGTAAGAGTCTATGACACGTGTGGCTCTATCATACATTTTGTACATTTTAAGATGGCAAAATTGATTTAAAACGCTGTTATTAAAATACACACTTCAGTATTTGTCGTATCACTTTGGTCTCTGCCCACATCAAAAGCTGAACTTGGAACAATACATCTTCATCTTAGTCCCGTTGTATTATTATAGTGCTTTTTGTGATGTTGAAACTGGAACTCTGATGAGTCCTCCTTGTATAAATAAAGATTCAAAATAAGGGCCATGCATGCTCTGCTCAGACCACAGATGAAGTTGGCAATCGGTGGTCTTTTCTTTAGCGCAGAAGTAAACGCTGTGGTATAGTAATAGATTTAGATTAGCAAACAATGTCAGTAAAAACATGGGTCAGGGGCCTTTCGACATGGTCAAATGTCACTTTTTCATGTTGTCCTCTTTTCAGTATATTTTACTTTCCTTAGTTTCACACGTAATTGTGTTTCCGTGACATTTCTACTTAGAAGCAGAAGGACTGGTTCATGTTAATTTTATGGAGGGTGAAATGTCATATTGACACTGCACACATCTTGCAAGTTCTTTGAACCAAAGATTTGCCTAAAGCAGTAATCATTTTGTGTGGCTGTCACAAAGTCAAACATCTCTTTCCCTTCCCTCCATCTACGAAAAGAGTCTATTCTTCATTGATTCAAAAGTGCATTTCCAGTTTTTTTAGAATCTAGATATAGAATTTTAACAAGTTCCAAAAAAATCTTGTCCTGTTGTGTATTTTGTATGTTGTAAATTATTGCAGTTTTCTGAGCTTATGGTTTTGAGTATTTGTACAACTTGTGGAAGAGGGTGAATGAATGTGAAAGCGAAGGAGGGTCATGTTTGAACAGCGTTATCTTTGATGCTGCTTCTATAGATCCATATGTCACGCTCCCAGAACACACTACAGAGAATCTATACTCCAGCATTAATACTGTAGTGAGGCCAAGATGTTAAGTGATCACCTGTGTGTGTCTGTCTGTCTGTGAGCAACAAAAATGTTATTGAAGGATTTAGACAAAATTCAGAGAAAATGAACAATGCACAAACGATTAAATGTTTTTTATCTGAATGACCTTCTGGATGCAGACTTTTTGTAAAGGAATGGGACTGTGCCTCTAGGCGGAGATCTGTGCTCTACGAGTGTTTCTAGTTTTTTATGACCTACTTATTTTTACATTAGCAAGTTTATTATTCTTATGTCACAATCACAAATGTCGTATTTGTGAAATGTATTCTTTTAGAGAAAAACTGTGATTTAATGATTAAATTACAATCTAGCAGGTGAAACGTGCGTTTATTGTGGAAATAAATGAAACTGTAAAATCAAGAAAGAATTATCATTTAAAGCTGGGGCACCTAACTTTCAAACCACAACAAATGCTTTGTCATAAAATCCTATTAACTATAGTTCCTTGCTCCCAAAACAGTTTGGTTCAACCACTAGTCACCACAGGCATGTATTGGCCTCTGTCTTATCTTCAGATCAGATTTTTCAGACTGATACACTCCTCGATCAGTTCCGAAGACAAAAAAGTAATGTACCCCAGCTCTAAAACTTCTTGAATCTTAAATAACAGATCAACTTCATTGTCACGATGTTTTTTGGGAGAACATGTGCTCTGGGCCTGATCATTTCACACCACCATTTTACCTCTCCTCTCTTGATGTCTCACACGTTTTATTATTAGACTAATGCCAGCCAGATGTACCGCATGTCAAAAGTAACTCAGAGTTAAGATAAACGTGAGAAGACTGCTGGTGGGCAGGATTATATTCTTGGTGAGGCTTCTCTACAGATAACATTAATTGATTTACAACAGACATTATTTGCACCATCCATTAGTTATTGAACGATCAGTCGATATTGTAATTATCTAGACAGGCCTTTTCTCATGCTGTTATTTTTCATTCAATAGATTAATATGCCACTTAATCAAACTTATTTATTCTTGGTTTGTTCTTGTTTGACTCACTTAAATCTATGTATTTCGATCTGCAGCGTACACTTAACCCTTACCATATCCCCAACTCTAACTCTAAGCCTAACCTTATCCTTGTTGTGACTTGTACACGTATTGGTGGCACACTCGTTAGCACTTGTGTGTGGAGTGAGGGTAAAATTGTGTCTCTGGTCTTCGAAATGCACAAATTAATACTGGAAATATGTTCATGACTGCCACCTTCACGTTAAATTTTTACTCTAAAAGCTCAACATGAGTCTCCATTTCTATTATATTTGTACCTATGTATTTCTACTTCAAATATAATTCCTCAAGATCATGTTTAAGGGACAAACTGACATTAGACATCCTACATTCTTTTCAATAGTTTGAATACAGACACAATCGGATCTCACTGCTTCTCTAATCTGACGGCTGTTTTGTCTCGTTGCAGTCATGATTCTCGGAGTGACGATTCTGAGGAAGAGATATCCTCTGGCCAAATACCTGTGTGTGCTGCTGATTGTGTCCGGAGTGGCTCTGTTCCTCTACAAGCCCAACAAGAGCTCCGCCGTGGCTGATGACCACGCGTTCGGCTTCGGAGAAATCCTACTGGTACTAGTCATCGCATTCTCTTTTATTTATGTATATTTTAGACTGATGCTTGTTTTGGGACTTTTTAACTACCGTACTTTCTGGACTATAAGGTGCACCTGCATATAAGCTGCACCGCCTACATTTGAAAAGTATATCTATTTTCTCCACATATAGGCTTCACTTGAATATAAGCCGCAGGTTTTCATGTTGCAATGCAGCAGATAGATGACCGTTTTGACTGGTTTTGACTTGACAATATGATTTTCAAGGTGTAACAACTTAACCGTTAGCTACCACGCCCGTACCCAAGTGTCCTATAGCTACTAAAATTTAATAAAGTTAAAATAATAAGTTCATAAACTCTGCTTTGACAACTCTACCGCAGGGTTAGGGCTAAGACCTCACAGCTTCCTGATTGGACAATATCAATTCAAATCGTTGCCATTAATCAAACTGTTCTTCTTCAGCAAATATTACTGGTCGTAGTTTTGCCAAAAGGATGGACTACTTTGAATATAATAGTAAAAACAATCTTGATTAATATGTCAGCACAGGGTCATACAGACATAAAAAATGAATTATTTTTTAATATAAAGTCCAGTTTAGTAGTGCTTTACCATGTTCACAAAGTTTCGACTGCATCTCTGAATGAAAAACAGGTCATTTGTTCTGGAATAAACTCTCGACTCAAGGCTGTCTGCTCTTATCTTGCATGGAAGGTCACTCACTCTTTTCTCTTTCTGTGGACTACGATATTAAAAAATAATACCTTTTTACATCTATTCAAATCTTTTCTAATGGTTGTAACTATTAGGGTTTTCTATGTGATTTTGTTGTTTGTAGTTGTGTTTATACTGTATCGTGAATATAGTGAGATTAGCTAAATAGTGATAAATAGTGAGATTAGCATGCATGTCGCTAATATTTGTGTTTATACTGTATCGTGAATATAGTGAGATTAGCTAAATAGTGATAAATAGTGAGATTAGCATGCATGTCGCTAATACCCCCTGCTGTGTGGTCCTCAGTTGGTGTCTCTCACGCTGGACGGTCTGACCGGAGTGGCTCAGGATCACATGAAGGCTCGTTTCCAAACCACTGCCAACTACATGATGCTGAATATAAATCTGTGGTCCACTCTGGTGCTGGGGCTCGGTACGTCCACTTTCCTTCTTTCTTTCTTTTTTGCCAAATAAACAAATGAAAACAAAGCACAGAGCCAGAACCGAGTGGGATCTCCCCTCCAAAGATTTCCATGAAAGATTACAGCTGTTGAAACTTCACCCTGAGGTGGAGAGGCACGGCCAAAGTGCTACAAGAATGTGTTTCTCCGCCAGCGCAAATGAACTATTTATCAGGTTTTTTGCCGCTTGGTGGGATAATTTACACTAAAGAAGAAACATATTTAGAGCTGGGTTAGGCGACTTTAAAGCTGGGTTATGTAACTTTCAAACCATAGAGGATTGAACTATGTCCTAATAATCCATCTAACTACTTCCTGGCTTTAGTTTTTACATGCATTTACTGTCTTTTTTTTGGCCTCTGTGATGTCTTTAGATCAGCTTTTTCAGGCAGAAAAGTGAAAAAGACAGGACCAGCCTCACTCAGCCTCACTTACAGTCCATTTTCAAAATATTCAAATTTTCTGAAATGTTTTATTTTGTGGTTTTTACAGCTGTGAGCCATTTGTCAACATAATCACTTATACAGGCTTGATCTATCTCACTTTTGCCTGTCATATAATAATTTTCATATTTTAAGTTCAAATACATCACTGGATACATTTTCATACCTTAAACGTTAAATGTCTATTGTGTGTATGGATAATTTACAATTTTATTAAGAATGCTTTTAATTTTATACTTATATCTATTCTTGTTTGCACCATACACCAAAGTAAATTCCTAGTTTTTGTCTTCTTGTTACTTACATCGGTAATAATAATTCTGATTCAAAATGTACTTTTGAAGATTTTCTATTTTCCCAAGTTTCACCTGCACATGTTTACGTATACAAACAAGGGTTGGTACGCTGCTTTTCCTTGTCGCCTTTGCGAACTAAACTTTTCAAACAGTAACTCTCCACAAAGCGACAGGGGTAAATGAGTACCGCGACCACCAAACACCGCAGATTACAAAGCCGCAGCGTTCAAGGACTTTAGAAGTTCTCCAAGATCTCATTAATGCAGTTAAGGCGAAGTGGCCGATTGTTATTGTTGGAGATACGAAACCAGGAAGCTCAAAGTGCCGGCGCGCGAGGAGAACGCGGTAAAGAGCAAAGCACATAAAACAAATGGGATATAATGAGGCGCTCTCCCAGGCTCTAATGGGCCCCGCGATCAGGATCAACAGGTCAAAGCCAATATAAGAACTGAGACTGTGGCATTCATAGCACCGGCTAATTGGCTGGGCCTCCTATCGCTTATGTGCGTGCTCCTCCAGGAACTCTTTTAAATACCTCTTTTCATTTACAAAGTTTGTATGTGGGTACAACTTTTGGTGAAACAATTTTATTTATCGTTTTTTTTTTTTATTGCAAGTACACCAAAAAGAGCAGGTGTCGGGAGAGTGTTTTCTATTAAACGAGGGGTACATATAACTTTGTTTCATAAATGCACTTTTGTTTGTCCTCACAGAACCTTGAAAGAGTGAAGCTTGTGTACACATCTGTATTAGAAGATATTTTACTTTTACAAACGTGTAAGAAGGAACTTTGTGATTTGTATTAGGGATATTTCTCTCTTTTTAGCTTTTCTGTGCAAAAAAAGTTGATCCAAACATGTGATACAAGAGGCCAAAAAACATATGCATCCAATCCACTTAATCAATACAGCTATTTTATTATAGTTTAGAAAAAGAGACAAAAGTAACACATTTAAACGTACACGTCTGCCAGCTTCATCTGTGTTAAAAGAAAAATAGTAGTAAGATAACTCAAACATGAAGTAGTTGTAAAAAATAAAAACAATTAAAATGGATTAGCAAAAAACAATTAATAATGAACAGAAATAAAAATGAAAACAATAATTATAAAATAAATAAAACGGAAAACACAACATAATGTAGTGTTAAAGGCCAGAGAATAAAAGTATGTCTTATGTGCATGCGGAAACAATTGAGCGAAGTTTTGAGGCTGAGGAAAAGTTCCACCTTTTTATGTTTGACGCAGCTTTGAAGTCTCCACTTTTATAATCGGAAAACAGATAATGAGATAAGATTAGCTTTTATTAGAATTGCAGACATAAAAGGAGCACTCAAACAAGATAAATGACATAAAACTATAGTTGAATTATACGTATTGTGCAGTATATGCTTGAAAACAAACCATTGATTTGAAAGAATGCATACATAAGTTGTGAATAAAAAGGTGGTAATTGCGAAAGTAAACATTGTTTTTTTTAACTAATGTTTAGTTTAGTTTATTATTTGTCTTTGGTCATTGGTCAGAAACAAAACGAGCAAGAACAGTTTTCACAAATATTGACCCATTGTTAAAGACCAAATCGGTTTAGGCTGAAGCTGAACCAATAACCCTAAACAAAAACCTGAATTTCGAGAAGAAAAATATGATTATGTATTCGAATAATCTATATTGGAAGCATCCAGAACAAAAGTGACAAATTGCAGTATGATGTGTTTGATAATGAATAGTGACATTTTTAATGATGAATAGTTAAAGCCTTAGTTTCCATCTTTGGCCACATGATGGTGCTGTTTACCCACTGGACTCCACTGAACGTGCATTTGAACCCCTGGCTTTTCTTCTGCTTGTAGCTGTGCTGTGGACCGGTGAGGTGTGGGACTTTTTGAGTTTCACCGAACGCCACCCGAGCATCATCTACAACATCCTTCTCTTTGGGCTGACCAGTGCCTTGGGGCAGGTGAGTAAAGCTGAGGCAATTTCGCACCTCTAAGATTTGAATTCTGATCATTAGAGTTAGGTTTTAATGTTTGATCTGGACAGGGATTAAGCTACAAGTTTAAACTGAGAGCCTGTAATTACTTCTGAGACTGAATGTGATTTTCTGTGATCAGGGGTGTCTATTGAGTCCCAGCAAATGTAACCTTTGATTCATAGCATTTCTCCCCACCCAAGAATGTCTCAGTTTTTAATTATTTGTACATTAGCTGTCAAACTAGATATCTAGCAGTAATAACACTGCCAGTGATTTTAAAATTACAATTACATAAGAGATGGCGAGAGAGAGAGGTGCTATACAGGCCAGTGTTACGACCCTACAGTTGAGCTCGTAGGGGAAGAGGGAAGTAACATAAAACCTAGTCTTATTTTAGTCCAATTAATCCTGGCATAATTTAAGTCCGAATCCAAATCTGGCTCCTTGTTCCAGGATTCACAAATATTAAGGTTTGTTTTAGGATTTCCTTTGTCAGGGACCATGTACAAAATCACAAATACAACAAAAGGAAAGATCCATATCAGATAATGTCACTTTCCTTCTGCAGTCTCAGTCAGAGCAGGCAAACACACAATAAAATGCACATTACAATAGCAGCTCTACACTAACGTAGCTATTTTTTGAATGCCCAGAAGGTGGCAGTATACCCTTTAGGCTTTGTGATTTGGTTTGTTGATTCATGCACAGATGTAAGTGCTCAGCTGTCTTTTAATGATATCCCAATTCAATCCATCCTAGTTCGTGTCCCAACAACTCCTAGCTTTCTACTGTCGAAATAACACCACCATGTATTTAATTTCTACTCTTTTCTTTGTGTAGACGTTCATCTTCATGACTGTGGTCTACTTCGGCCCTCTGACCTGCTCCATTGTGACCACCACCAGAAAGTTCTTCACCATCCTGGGCTCCGTGATCTTGTTTGGAAACGTCCTGACCTCCATGCAGTGGGTCGGCACCATCTTGGTCTTTTTAGGTGAGGCATAAAGATCATTTGTGCACTCGACAAAGCTCCAGTCTGCTGATCCTGTGTGTCCATGTGGAGAATGTGAAAGTTGTTGTTTTGGTTCAGAACTTTTCACTCTGGTAAAGGTGCATTCCTCAAGTGTCCTGGTGATGACCCGCTTTTTGTGAAGTGAGGTGATACCTGCTTCTGTAAAAAATATGTTTTTGCATTGCTTTGAATGTTGCTCAGTTTGCTTTACATTGTTCTTTCCTTATGAATTATGTTATTGCTTAAAAAACATGTTTACAGTGAGAAGATTGCCTCACCACAGATATAACTGAGCCGAAGGAAGTTGCATGCTTGTTTCCAATGTAAAAATAAATACTAAAAATAAAAAGAACATTTGAATGAATCCAAGCATTCAAAGTGATCCCATCGCCAGGACAGTTGAGGAAAGCAAATTTTAAAATAATATTATAATAAATACCAGTTATCTGATTTATTTCAGGTGTAATAATTTCAGTGGTTCCCAAAGTGAGAGTCACAAGAGGATTTTCAAAATCATTTCTAGAGCAGGATTGCCATCTCAAGTTTTAGATCTCAATTATCCATCCCTGAATTAAAATTGAAAGAAACAAATGGGGGGAGAGAGGGAGGAGATTCACTCTGAGTCAGCACAGTCTAGTTTGGTGTTAAGAATATCGCTTTGGTCAAACCAGTTTTATGGTTAGGATTTTAAATGAAGTCAAAGTATTATGTATTTTATTTTATTTGACAGAAATTAAAATGTGTCAATATCGATAAATATATTTTAGGTGAGATTATATCAATCAATCAATCACATTTTATTTATTTTTGTATGCTTTTCATACAAAAAATGTAACACAAAGTGCTTTACAAAGTGCAATAGTATGGAATAGTAGAATGAATTAAGATATTTTATGCATGAAATTATGATTTCTTTCAATGTTATTCTTTGGGGGTCAGGAGTCTGTATCATGCTTATTTTTGGGGTCCGGACCTGAAAAGTTTTTAAGTTCTGAAAAGTTTCAAAGTCCTGATCTAAACTAATCATCAACTTTCAGAACATTCAGATTCACACAGATTTTTTTCAAATTGCTAATTATCAATAGATTGTGGTGTTTTTTCTGTCAAAAGTCATAACTCTAGTTTATATCTTGCGGAGGAGTTATTAGGAACGCAGTGTTCTGTCGTCCTTGTAGATTTATTTGTTCATGTGTGAATTGCTCTTTCTGTTATTTCTATCGTAGTCTTGGGTTTTTTCTGTGTGCGTTACACAGCTGCATTTACTGAAGTTCTCCCTGGTTTAGTTTTTTCTTGTCTTGCCTTACCTTGCCATATCCTTTTTGTTATTTTTGTTACTATTTATATTGATTTATGTTACATTGTATTTTCTGGAAAAACAACGATTGTATGAAATTGTGTTGAAAAAAAACAAACCAATAATCACAAAGTTTCACAATGTTTTAGCTGCAACATTACACAGCCTTAACTTTTGTGAACAGGGACGGTTAGAAATGAAAGGCGTTTGTGTTTGTTTTGGAACACTTCATTGTGTAAGACATTTGGCATCACATTTATTCCAACTATTGCATTGCAGCTGTAGCTTGAAAAGATTCAGATTTAGGTTTTGAAATACCAACATAAACAATCATTTTAACAGCTTGCATTTTGATTTGTTCATTTTTCAGGTCTTGGATTGGATGCCAAATTTGGGAAGGGCCCCAAGAAGCATTAAAGCGTTGACAGTCTGTGCAAATTTCTTACTTCGGAAAATGTTGGATTCCACCAGATGAACTCCACTGCTGAAAGGACACTTGATTTTGGGCATTTTGTCTTAACAAACAGCCAGTAACATAACTACATTTGGCTTTACATTTCTCCAGGACATGATTGTTCTGACCGCATGATGCAACAGAAGATACTATACTATTTTTATACAACATCTCTGTAACATGAATATTAAACCCAACAAGGCCTAAAAAACATTCCCAGCATTTAACTCATGAATGTGCTTCAAGGGCCAGAGGGTAGGTTTACAATTGTCTCGTGTGTAAATTGATTGTCTAAAACAATTTATAAAAACACAAAAAAGATAAAACTGTCTAGATTTCTGTGTCATTTAAAAAGATCTTTCTCACGTCTCCATGTTCATGCCTATCAACACACATGGGAAATCAGGTTTCTCATGCAAATACATGTATTGTGTGCCTCTCATAAGGAACTGCAGTGGAGGATTGGCAGTTTGTTTTCGTTTAAGATAAATGTCGTAATGATTAAACCCCAAGGACCCCAATAACTGGGTCTTATTAGCTTTGTTTGGATGCACCTGTTCAATGTGTATTTTTTATTTTTTTATTTTTTTTAAGAGTTACAAATAGTAACCCTAAATACCTGCAATGATGGAAAGCTCATTCTTTACATAATTCGTTTGCATACATAATTCTGAATGAATGAAGATATTAGATAAGATAGACTTTATAGATTTCACACAGGAGAAATTTACATATGGGTAGATTGTGTATGGCAGTTTCAATCACGGTTATGTGACAATTTAAGTATTAATCGCAGGTAATCTAGATCACCGTCTGGAGCCAGAATATACATACATATTTTTCTTTTAATTATTTTCTTATTTTTTTATGGAACTGAAGTCCGCTCTTTGGTGATAATTTATGTTATCAGAGTTTTTTTTTCTTGTTCATTATAATATGTTTATATGCATATTAATGGGATGGAAGAACATAATGTATACCTTATTTAAAACTTTACCGAAAGTTACTAGTTTAATTTGTAACTAGTTTGTTATGGTCTAAAAAATAGGTATTCAAATATTTGCCGTATTACAATAGTTTCACAAAAAAACATCACATGCCATTTTTGCATTCTTGATGAGTTTCAAATAACCAAAGGACATATTATCCTGATTATAATCTGTTGATATGTCTACAATAATTTACTTCGACGTATTTCCAGTGTTTCTTCCACTCTAGTCTCGTTCAGGCGGTCTGGTGAGCATCCTAAACTGCCTTTTTCTGGCCCTGGTTCTTCCGCTTGTTCAGAATCCCGTTGGGTCTTTTCGCTGTAATCCGTTTATTTCTGTACAAATTCCGATAAATCCATCTCATAATACAGGTCAAAATGCTGGCTTTGGTCAAGAAACAACTGAAGAATCACCCAGCTGTAAGTACCGTGATGCTATTATAATGAACATCACAAAAACAGCTGCTTTCACTTACTTTCCGCAACATTTTTTATGCTAACTTAGCATAGCATCACTAGTTAGCAGCGGTTATGCTAGTTAGCCTTTGACCGGACTGACTTCATCTGTTTATCTCTTATTCATCGTTAGACATGATTTTAAAAAAAGTATGATAAGTTGACACGTTTTGTTGAATTCCTGACTATTGGGGGTAAAAAGTCATTTGAGGACGGGCTAAATATAGTTTGTCTGACAACCAGGTGTGTTTTACTAGTTAGCACTAGTGTGGCTAACTTACCTAACGCCAGCTAGCTCATCTGGTAATCAGAGCTGTCAGCGACTGCATATTATTTATTTTTTATAATGGCTCGTTTAACATAATCTTATTTTATTGCCGCTGTATAAAGGCACTATATCTTACGTGTCATAATGATAATAAAAATAGTTGTGACACCGTACAAAGAGTTAGTCTTCATCTTAACCTAACATCACATCTTTTAAACTGGGTTACCAATTTTTAAACCAGATTACCTTTTATGAACCATAGAATCTTAACCCATGTTTGAAAGTTTTCCTTCTACTCTACTCACTGTTAGAACATACTTGAACAAAATTGACTTTTTCTCACATCTTTCTCACATAAAAAAGTGCTTCTTACTACTTTTTTTTTTCTATGTTTTGAACGTAGATTCTACACAGCCTGTTCTGTATATTTGGAGTTTATTAAAAGTTCATTGTTTTTGTTGCTTCCAGCTCATCCCACTGTTCTTCTTCATCGGCGGTGGTACTGCCATGTCCATGATTTACCTTGCGCGCCTGGGCTTGAGAAACCCGGACGTCTGGTAATTTTACAGCACAGTACTTAATTGTTTATCCCCTGAATAACTGTCTTTTAATCATTGCCCTTATTGTAATCCCTCAGCTGGGACCGCAAGAACAACCCTGAGCCCTGGAATAAACTGAGCCCGACATACCAGTACAAGGTGTGTTTGCTTGTTACAATTTCTTACCTATGCCAAAATCTGAGTGGATTAGTTGAACTAGAGCTGGATTAATTAGTCTAATTTTTTTAACACTGTCCTGTAGCTGCATGTTTGATTCCCTTTCCAAAGTAATTGTTGAGTAAAGTTGATCAGCATCATAATGTGATGATTGCTTTGTCTTTGAAGTTGTTCGCTGTCAACATGGACTACAACAAGCTGGAGAAGAACGGCCCTGACTTCTAAATAAACTGCTTCTTATGGATCAAAACTGGATTTAAAATTGAGCAAACACGCACAGCTCCCGATTAAAAATCTGCTCAGAATTCTGGAGGATTCTGAATCAAAGCTCATCTGCACAAATGTCTTATTTAATTTACAGTCATTGACTCAGACATGTGTGTCTCTTACCCTCATTTTATTTGGGAGTTTGTCAATAAAGTTTAACATTCTGACCTCTTAATTTTAACCATGTTTGTTATTATTTTTCCATTAATCGTTTGTTTTACCTTAGCATGAGCCGCTTGTGTTTATGGTTGCTTCTGTTATGGCTTTTCTCCCCTCATTTCACCCTCGCCCTGCCACTGAACCATCTACAGCTCCTCTATTGGCTACAGTCCAGAGCCTTATCAGTCCGATAACACAGTTTAGACAAGTTGTGCCATTACAACTACAAATAAAATGACTCCTGAATGACGATGTGAAGTACAAGACCGCAGCTATCCTGCATGTGTGTGGCATGTTTATTTTGAATCATGCTCGTTAATTGTTTTCTGAAATTAACTTAATCTTAACTAGTTCCTTGTTCTTAAAACAGTTTTTGTTTCTGTCTCTACTTTTCACATGCATCTGTTTTTTGGCCTGCAGATCTTTTAGATCAGCTTTTTAAACGGCAAAGTAAAAAGTGGGCCGCTCCTCTACTGCCAATCCAAGATGAAGACAGCATGTGATCTGATTTGTTCATGCTTTTCTTTTACAAGGCTGTTGGGACTAAGCTTCCCCAACTAGTTTATGAATACAAAAAAACCTCAGCTGTACTTCTTCAAAAATGATTTGATAATGTTTTTAGTTGCAGATCGTAGACCATACAAGGATTTACAGTTTTTGATGTTGCCATAGCGGTGCAAATGGGAAAAATTGTTTGAAAACTCATGTTAAAACTCAAAATGTAATGCAGTTTTTCCTGTTATCCTATCCTAAGCAACATAGTCATTCCTTTACAGAAAAGGTGTGTTCATGATATATAGCAGTTTATAAGCCTGTAAAGTTTTTCATCTCTTAACTTTATTTCTCAGTTTCTACACTTTCACAGAACTCTTGGACTAATTGCTCTATAATTGTCAGATTTTTGTCTCGCATCCAGAACAAAGGCGATGGGAGATGTTTCTCCATATAGAATACAATTGCTTCCTCCCAGTCTTGTAAATGTCAACAGTGCGTAGCGTCCCGTGTGCTGCTCTGCGGAATGTGACAGGATGAGAGGCCGATGCAGCGCCGCAAATGTCAAGGAGACCTTCGTATCTGAATAGAATCTCACATCTTAAACAGCCTTCTCTTGAACTGGAGTGCATGCTTTATCTTTCCACCTGCACAACTGAAAAATTAACTGCTTATACTTGCCACTGTCACTATGTCTCATGTAAAAGTAGAGGAAACTTGATATTGCTTTGAACGCATAAACATGAATAATGTGTGAGACCAAATGCATTTACTACAGCTGTTTTTTATATGAACACATTTTTCTGTTTGAGAGAATTTAAAAATGTGTTTACAACCTTTCGGCCTTAAAACACACTAGACTGTTAATTCTTCCCAGGGACTTTCTACTTTTTTCTGATTAAAACATGTCTTTTCACCGTTGCTTATGAAATTACAAAATACAAATAAAAACAACTTTGAGTGTTTTTGTGTTTATCTTTGACTTATGCAGCAAAAAGCTGCATACAAAACATTCCTATTTTGTCTAGTGCGCAGTGCATTCATAAGTAATTCAAGTAACACAAGTTATTTAAATGTCTAAAAACTTAAACACATACAGGCTATGAGAAGTTTATGTCATTACATATGTTTCTTTATTCACAATAAGCAAACAAACAAAAACAAGTCCAGGACATTCTCCAGTGACCCTAGACCTTGTTTATTTCTTACAAATCTAAAATATGTGTCAAAGAGGCGAAAAAAGGCAATTCTTTAATAAAGATTAAGAAATAACCATTGCTAATACTTTGAGGGCTTCATAATTTAGATAATTCATTCAGTTACTTTTGCCAATACATGTTTATTTTATTTGTATACATTTAATTGTTAAACAGCCATTTAACAATTCCTTTATTACCCATTGTACCTTATTGAGCTGCTGCCACCCGTATTCACCTTAATTCAGACTGATTCTGCAGAAAATGTTACATTTGCGGTCATTTGATACAGTCATGTAATCATGTTTCGTTTTAACAAGAATTTAGTTGTGGCTTCATCAAATAGGTGTAAACCAAATACATATACCTAAAAGAGGACTTGACACTGAACATAGTTACAAGATACGCACAGAGACAAGAGAAAATAAACTATACTTACACACAAGGACAAGGGCAGAGGGGGAGAGACTCTGGACTCACCAGGGGGCCTTCTGCTACAGGGTGTTGGTCGAGAGAGGGTCCAGAGACAGACCCAGCAGAGATACTATCTGTTTATATCAGCTATCTGTGTCTGGAGTCTGGAGTTATCCAGGTTGCCCTAGTAGGCCTAGCAGCACATCTAGAAAATGCAACCCAACAATGTAATGCAATTTTGAAAGCATTGTGAAACTCAATACATTTTGCACAATTAAAAGAATGTTTTGTTTGTGTTTTGTCTCCTTCAGTGGAAGACTGAGGCACCCTCAGTGCAAGAAGGAGCGCTACCGCAGGGCCTTTATCCCCACTGCTGTCAGACTGTACAAAAGTCACTTTAAGTCACCAATTATCTGCACTAGGACTGAAAAACCAGAACTGCTATCGCCCCTTTTTTATTGTACATAATTATATCCTGCATGGACTATATATTTTTTTTTACCTTATCTGTCTTTTTGCACAATCTAAGTGATTCTGTCTATGCCAAATGTGACATACATTTCTCCATTGTGAGATCAATAAAGTTTATCTTATCTTATCTTTGTTCACTTTTTGGACGCAAATGAAACATGGAGGATGTGTAAGACCAAATGCATTCACAACAATTTTTTAAAATAAGAACATTTTTTTTTTCATAGAATCCAAGCGCCACTCAAACAGAGTGTGAAAAATGTGTTACAACTTTTTGGCCTTAAAACACTCAAGCGGGACTTTTTTATGATTACAACCAATTTTTAGGTACATCCCTGTAGACAGTGATAGGATCAGGGTTTCCTTTCCTGATATTTTTTGACAATAACCAGCTTTCCTTACAACAGAATGAAGCAAAAGCAGAAGGATGTCAAAAAAACAACATATCTTTGAAGCTTGTCACATGTAATGCCTGTTCCCAGTCCTGCCCTGGTGCCAAAGCTCCAGCGTGGGTCATTTCTGATGTAGAGTTGAAGCGTCCAGGGACACAGCTAAAGCCCACCTGACCTGCATCTTTAGCCTCCTTCGCGTCACCTTGGACCCCAGGCCTTCCCCAGCCTCAATGCAAAAGTAGCGCTCTGAAATAATGAGGGTGGAAACGATGGGAGAGAGGCGCAGGGTGATTGCTGCTGCTGCAAATTGCCTTGTAAAGGTCATGGCAACGGTCAAATAGGAGCGTATAGATGAGGCTGCACTATTCACACCGACAAAACACACTCCATCAGAAAGATGTCGAGCAGCTGAAAGGATAAATCTGTGTTTTAACATGAAAAGATGGACTGAAGCTAATGACTGGTGTGTTGCTCTTAATGATTGAGGATCAGGACAAGACCAGACGAGACATGCTGCCAAAAGACTGTTTTATTTATTCTATTTTCATACATATTGCTGGCAAACCATGATTTTATCTCTGTTTGGCACTTTGAAAACTTGTTTTATAAAATGGGCCAGTAAAAGTGGATTGGATATATCTTAATCAAACCAGTTTTATTATGGAGTTTAATGACGTCATGGCAGGAGCTAGTATTGTATAGTACAGTCTATATTGTATAAATAGTCTTACCCTGTTTTGTTTTGTTTTTACACTATTGAACTGTAAATATGATTTGAATGCAGTCAGGTAGGGGGTGTGTGATGCTTGTTATTACCTGTCACATTTTTACAGTTTACGAGAAGTTCATTGCTATTCACCCATTGTCTGTTTCATGGCGCAACAACAGGACCTTTGAACCGGCCCTCTCCATATACACCTGCGGACTGCCCTGCCCGACCCGCCTGGGAGCGCTTCAGTCCTGGGTTCAGACCTATCCACGTTCTGCGGCCGCTGCGTGGCATTGGTCCTCGTTCTGTAGTTTAGGTCTTGGATCTTGGGCCTGTCCGTCTGTCCATGTAGGAGCGGATCCCTTTCTCAAATGTGGGTCTCCCTGAGGTTTCTCACTTTTTTTTGGGTGAGTTTTTCCTTGCCGATGCAGGAGGGTCTGTTGGGCAGTTAGTGTCCAACAAAAAGCACTGTGGTGATCATTTATCAACATTCATGGACATTGGTCTCTCCCTAAGGACCAATTCATATGTGTATACTTTGTGTCTTAACTGTTGATTCTCTGATCTGTGTTGGTGATTTCAATGGTTCTGTTAAGTCCTCTGAGATGACTTGTGTTGTGATTTAGGGTTATACAAGACTAAGTTGTTTTTGTTACTCATAAGCTTCAATAGTTAGAGGCGCCCCCTGCTGGTAATCGATGCGTAAATGCAGCGCAGTTTTGCCAGAAGCCACAAGACGGCGGCAAGTTGTTTTCTTCCAAACAATTAGCTATGATTTTAAACACAGTCTTGATCTTTCATAAACTTCAATCAAATCCCTAAATTATATATTCATTATTCATGGTTCCTTTTCCCTAATCCGTTTGGTGTCAAAAAAGCGGCATTTTTCCTTTTACCTGGACATTCTAAACAGCGGCTGGAACTTTTTACACTTTTATTTCAAGCTTAAGAAAGAGGAATCAACTACTGTCATTTACTGTATTTACAAATTATACATGATGCAAACATACACATCTCACCTGAATTCACTTCATACCATTACAACGATTTTTATTGTATTGTCTGTATTTTTGCAACCAAGAACATACAATAAAAATGTAGCACTAATTTTGTTTAACTGTCTAG